TTGTCAAACATTTCATTGAAAAAACTGGAATTCCTTTTCAATCAAATTATTTATTCTTTGGCTGGAGAAATGGCTCCGAGGTTAAGAGCACTGACTGCTCTTGCAGAGGACCCAGGTTCGATTCCCAGCAACCACATGACGGCTATGAACCATCCTTAACTCCAGTTCCAGGGGAATCTGAAGCCCTCTTCTGGCCTCCATGGCATTGCACGACACGGGTGCACTCACATACATGCAGGCATTACACTCATACATCTTTAAAAAAAAAAAAAAAAAAGAAAAAAAACCTAGTGCCTGGAAGTTGCTGTGACCTAAAGAGTAGAGCCAAATCCAAGATTTTTGCCAAGAACCTGAGACTGTTTACTGATGTTGGCCATGGCCTTCCTTTGAAGAACAAATCACCCCCTTACTGTTCCCAGGCACCAAGTATATGACATAATGTTTTAAAAAAAAAAAAAAAAATGAAAAAAACCTAGTGCCTGGAAGTTGCTGTGACCTAAAGAGTAGAGCCAAATCCAAGATTTTTGCCAAGAACCTGAGAATGTTTACTGATGTTGGCCATGGCCTTCCTTTGAAGAACAAATCACCCCCTTACTGTTCCCAGGCACCAAGTATATGACATAATGCCTGGCTGACTGGCGTTCTAATGATTGGAGTTTATGAAAGAGGAGATGTTGCCTATGCTGGGGCCTACCTTGTTGGCTTGATTCTGAACCCCTGTGTTGACTTAAAAATATTTAAGAGATGCTAATAACCCACTTGAGCAGTAGAGACAAATATGATGCAATGTAAAAAGTATCTTTTATTGGTCCAAACCTGACTCACTTTGCTTTATAGTAACTCGCCTTTATCTAGTTCTATATTTTTAGCTCAAAATGTGTCTTCCTGTGGATTATCTCATTTAGGTCGCTAATCTTTAGGTTCCTAACTCAGACAGGTTCTTATCCACAGATAAGAACCTCCATTTTATAAGTGAGGAAACCAGTTTAGAAAGGAAAAAAGTCAGTGGAGTCAAGGTGGTGCACACCTTTAATCCCAGTACTTGGGAGGCTGAAGCAGGCAGATCTCTGTAAGTTCAAGGCCAGCCTGGTCTACATAGAGAGTTTCAGGCCAGCTGGTGCTACAGGGAGACCCTGTCTCAGAAAGGAAAAAAGTGACTTGCCCATGGTCAAGTGTCAGCTAAGCAGTAAAGGAAGCTTCTGACTCCAGGACAACCCTCTCTCCAGGAAGCGTGTACATTTTGGGCAACCTCATGGGGATGCACCCTGAGCAAAGTCAAGCCTGGCCTAGTTTACTTATTGAAGATGAATTGTTCCAATGCTCACATAACTGTAATTACATGAAAATAGATACTCCTTTTTTGCTGTTGTTTATTATATGTGTATATGTGTGTCGTGTATGCATGTGTACATGTGTATGTGTATACTCATGTGTGTGCATGACCCTGAATGCACATAGGGAAGCTGGAGGAGGATGTCAGGTATCCTAATCTATTACTCTCCACCCTATTCCTTTAAGACCTGGTCTCTGTCTGAAACTGAACCTGGAGCTCACCTGTTTGTGGCTAGGCTGTTTGGCCAGCCCCAGCAATCCCCCGTCTCTGCACACTCACCCCTAGTGCTAGGATTCAGACTGTGTTTACCTTTATACATAGGTGCTGGGGATCCAAACTCAGGTCCTCATGTTTGCACACAGGTTTGCACACAGGTTTGCACACAGGGAACCATCTCACCAGCCCTTTGATTTTTAAGTTAACAAGGCCCTTCCCATTCCCCAGGAATCATGGTTTACCTACTAGATTCCATAAGGACCACCACTTGGAACATTTTCAGTCTTTTACATTTTTTACCCCTTCTGCTTTTAAAAAAAATATGTGTGTTTTGCATGTGTGTATATTCTTGGTTATAAAATGATACATTATAGAATTATAAAATACAAAGAAAGCCAGCAGTGGTGGTGTACACCTTAATCCCAGCACTTGGGAAGCAGAGGCAGGCAGAGCTCTGTGAGTTCAAGGCCAGCCTGGTCTACATAGTGAATTCCAGGTGGACTGGGGCTACAGGGAGACCCTGTCTCAAAAAGACATAAGTAAATAAATAAAATACAAAAAAAAATGTAGGAAAAAAAATCACCCAGAGATAATTACTGGTAATATTTGGAACATGTCCATTAGTCCTGATTCTTTCTTGAGTAGTATTTTATGCTGTATACTCATATCTAATTTTCACTTGCTGCTCTCAGAGGACCCCAGGTTCAGTTCCCAACGCCAGTATTAGGTAGCACAACCACCTGTAACTCCAGCTCCCTGGGATCCTACACCCTCTTCTGGCCTCTACGGGCACCAGCATGCATGTGGTGTACATACATGTATGCAGGCACTCAAACATCTGCATAAAATTAAAATAAATATTTTAAAGAAATAACTTGGAATTAAGAGCTAAAATAGAGACTCAGTTGTAACAGTCAAATAGGAGCTAATAGGCACACTGTAAAATGTGCTGTGAGCTTTTCTAGAGCATCAAGATTGGTTTCTTTCCCTTGTTTTAACAGCTTTTTACATGCGAGTCATATCAATGATAGGCTTACTTTTGTGCAGATTTCCAGTAAAAAGACACCTTATTAACAAATGATGAATAGTTCAAAGTCCAAGGCAATAATGATTAGCAAGCAGTAGAAACCCTCCAGACTATGAGCCAGTGACACAGCTCTCCTGTGGGTTTGCCTTATAGCAGGCTTTATCAGATGATCATTGACCACAAGTCATGCCAACCTAAAGCCTTTAAATAGTTTCATCTTACCTGACAAATCCAGATCCAACAAGCAGCCCAGCGATGCTCAGTAGAGCCACTATACTGTTGACAATATTTGGATTTTGGACCATACCAAGCATCACAAGAGTTAGAAATTCGCCAATTAAGTGGGGGGCCAAGAGAGCAGCTGAGAAATTGCCAAATCTGGCAACCTCGGGATACAACCCTAGAGTCCTAGAAAAACATAAGATCTTTAATTTCCTCTCCAAGTACTGTCATTTTAGAAAAAACACCACATCTGCCTTCTATGAATAAATCTTTGGTGGCTAGTGGGTGGAGGGAGTTAGCAGGGCAAGTTGTGCTCCCCTCTGTAAGGCTCTTTGGAACAGTGCCTACACTGGAGCCCACTTATTACCACAGCTGTTTCCATTGGCTTTAACTCACTGTGAGCTGCCTGTTACAGCTCCTTTAGCTCTCACAGCAAAATATTAAATTACTTAGAAAACAGTCACACGAGCTGAGAAGTGGGTCTGTTGAACTCTCTTGGCTTCTTCATAAATAACCATGTTCTTCCTACCCCACCACTCCCGTCACTGAAGACTCACCCTCCCTCCCTGAACCTCTGTTCTGCAGGATCATTGTGAGCACGAAACACCTCACTGCATCATCCTTCATTCATTACCTAAGCACTCCATTCACTTGTTATCTTATTCTAACAGCCTTGATTTGACCTTCTTTGTAAACAAGCATAACCTTTATTTGTGCCTTTGCTTGTACATTCCTCTCATTACACTGTTTCCATGGGTGACAGCATGTCTAAAACTCTCATTAGACTTGGGGCTCTTTAGTTCATTTGTAGAATAGGGAAAAGAAGCCAGCATGTCCCATATATACCCTCCCTTCCACTCTCCAAGGCTCTCCTTTTCCTTTGGTCCAAATCAGGACATTTGTTTATGCTGTAAATTCCCTTCCCCTTGTAACTTGTAGCCTGGGGACAAGTATCATTGCTTCCATTCCAATCCTTTTCCTCAATGTGTTAACCTTGATGAGCCAACAACATAAATGTCTCCTAAACAGCTGATCTCCATTCAAGAACTTCCATCTCTATCTTCCTAATTAAGATCCCTAAGGTTTCCACTTTATAACTTGGGGTCCAGTGGCGGGTCTCATCATGACTAACATAAACCTCTATTTTAAATGACTATTGACTCTCAGTTCCCCAATTTCACTCTCTTCTCTACCTCCCAGTTCTGATTCCTGTGTAGCTACCTGATATGCAGCTTAACTAATTAGTGTTGCATTTTCATCTACTCACAGTCTATTTGCTTGCTTGCCTTGCAGTGTTGGAAAATTGAACTTGGGGCCCTGGGTATGCTATGAATGCTCTTGACCACTGAGCTATATCCAAGGTCCTAAATAGATTGTGATCCTCTTCCTTACCTCATCCTATCATAACCCATTCTTTGAGCCTGCTAATCACTTAAGCAAATATCCCTCTTCATCCTGCCCTATACCAGCCTGCTTTGTCAAACAGTGTCTGCCCCTTCCATGTCACTCTTGTTCCCCTGTAAACCTAGCTTCTACCCTGCTACTCTCCTGAGCTTTTTTCTGGAAGATAGCAATGACCTTGTCTCTCATGCCTCTCCTCCTTTAACATGTGCTAATGCTGAGCAGGTTGATACACACACACACCCCTTGTAGCTCTTCCTTCTTTTACCTCTGCAGCCCTGGGCTGGTGCTCCTTCCTCCTCCTCTACCATCCCTCTCCTCCTCCATCAGCTTACTGTCTGTCCTCTTCCCACCCTCTGAATGGGCCTGTCTTAGGGTTTTACATGCACAGTGCTTCCTTCCTCTTTTCCAGGCCTTTACTCCTCCAATTCCACGGACATCTCCCCATTCTTTCTCCTTTGTAGTGCTACCATTTGAACCCAGGGCCTTGAGTGTACATGGCAGGTGCTGTACCACCCAGCTGCACCCCCAGATCCTTACTTTTTCTTAATATTCCACCTTATCACTCAGACCTCAGATTGACATCTCTATTTGAGTGTTCATGTAGCCTCCTGGATGCAGTGTGTTAGAAGATAAACCCATTTCTTTCCTGGAAAATTTGATAAGGATGCTCCCATCCTCCCAAACCATCAGACTGAAGCCTCAAGCATCAGCTGCAACTTCTCTTTAACAAATCTATTATGTTTCTGAGGCTCAATTGATTCTACTTTCCCAGCATCTCAAAATGGCACACAAACATCCTTTTGTGGTGCTAATTGAACCCAGGACTTTGTGCATAACAGACAAGTGTTCTACCACACCCCCAGCCCAGGGATTCCCTTTTCTGCTGACAGTGCTCCTCTCTTGCTTTTGGGTCCTGTGTCTTTACCGTCGATGGCTGCCAAAGCTCTTCGCTGGACCATCCAACAGCTCTGTCCTGAGTCCAGTCTCTAGCAAAGAGATGCTAGACTCTCCAGAACCCAACACAGCAGAGTCAGTGCCTGCTTCAATATTCTTTCCCACCTCCTGTTATCAGATACACTTAATGCCATAGCTTGGCAGACAGTGCCTCCCTGAGCCAAGGCTTTCAGTTTCTGTTCCTCTTCCCAATGTTTCATTACCCACAGCACAACTGGACATTTCCTTTGGAGAGAGCTTATGTGAGTTTGCTTCTGAACTATTGAACTGTTGCTCATCCAGTTTTTCTTGAGAAACCTCCAAGAATTCCTCTTCCCCAAACTCTACACCCAACCACTCATGGCCTCCTCTGTAATCAGCTAAGAAATGGATATGAGATGGGAAAACACCTCATATAGGCCTCAGGTTCCTCAACTATAAACAAGAATGATTCCACGTCGTCTTCTTAAAATGGTTGCAAGGATTGTGTAAACGAATGCATGTGAAGCACAGGAGCTCACTGTGTGTTAGCTGCTGCTGTTGCATTCCTCAACAGTGTTCCTGCTTCTAGTCTTACAGTTCCTTGATTTAAAGTCATCTGGAAGTTTGTTCTTGTCTACAATTCCTTGTCTGAAATGCTTTAGGGCCAGATGTAGTTTTAAATGTGGGCACTGATGGGTTTTGGAAGGGTAGATCACACTTACTGTGGTGGGGTTTGTGACTTGTAATCAGCCATATTAATATTCCTTTAAGCAGAATGTTCCTGTAGGATAAATATGAGGATCCCTATGTTGGTGCCAGTCAGACTTTGCCATTAAGTGAGTTCAGGTTGTGCATGCTGCTAAAGAGCTGACACAACACTCTTGGCTTTCTGAGATGTTTAGATTTCAGAACTGCAAGCTCTGGGGCAGCATCCAGTACTGTGCCTGGCATCCAGTAGGCACTCCTTACATATTTCTGTTGCTTAATGAAAACATTTTCTGCATGACTAACAGCTGTGTTGCTGCTGGAAATTATTCTGCATTCTTGTGTCCGATGGTATTGAAAATAGTCATGACACGCATGCTTGCACTCAATCTGGTTTAAAATCACCTGATTTCCTCAAGTCCCACAGAACTAGTTCTTTCTCACAGTATCTAAAATACCATATGGTCTTCAAAATCAGTGCTTCAACACATGCTAAAACACATAGGGTGACCTCTGTCGTTCTCTGAGTAAAACTGTCTTCTAAGAGCCTACACTAGCCTCAAACCCTAAGTCTCGGAGCTTATTACCAGCATGCCCTCCTTTATGTTGCACCTACATGCCATGTAGTTTATAATAATGATTCATCTTGCATGTCATGGAACATTATGTGGTCACAGTTAGGAGAATCTGCACAGGAATCCAGGCAATGAAGAGAGGTCTTGACATCTTCTCAAGACCTGCCTGAAGTCCCTTCTTGGGACAGCTGAGCACCTTGACACTAATGGAGTAGAGTAAGCTGGCTCCTTTCCTCCATGTTTTCCCAAGGCAGAGCACAGTGATTAGGGAACATCTATCTCCCTATGGAACAAAGCATGCAAGTGTCTTAACTCTGCTCATTCTTGGATTGATATCCTTGTAAAGTTCTGAGAAATAAAAAGCCATCAGTGAGAAGCCCACAGGACTGATGTGTCATGGTTCCCAATGCCTTCTTCCTGGAGTTTCTGGTGTCCCTCGAAGTCCCCCACCCTCCAAACTATGATATCCTAATCCGTCAGTAAAACCTCTGGCTGAGGGGCTGCTGCACTCCAGCTTGCAGCAGCTAGGGGAGGCCACCCTGCACCTGGGTCTCACTCCTGTGAGCACTCTTCTCTACCTTAGACTCTCAGGGAGTAGCAGCATGTTCTTTGCTGACATAGATAACCTGGCTGGCCTGCTCTCAGGTCCCATGCAACCCTCAGTTGGGTTATTCTACTTGTAACAAAATACATGTCCTGAAAAGACAGGACGTTGCACTAGATATTAATGGGGAAAAAAATGTTCTAGATCCTACAGAGCAGAGAACATGGAGTCAGTCACCCTGTAGTTCTCTTTTGATGTCCCATCAGCCCCCGTGACTCCCTGGGGAGCCTGAGTCTAGTGACCTGAATGCTGCTGAACCCTCTCTTACCAGTAACACACACTGCTGAAAATCATGGTGGCGATGATGCTGAAGGGGAGCACATGCAGAACGTAGGCCAGCAGCATCTGCCACTTCTGGTACAGGCCGTCTTGACTCTCCTGGTCACTGACAGCCCTCAACACAGGAACTGGCATGGAAAGCAGGTTCCAGAACAGTCAGTCACTACACAGCTGAGGAAGGAAAGGCTATCTCAAGCTAAACTTGAGGTCTGTCAGGTCTGGATAGAAAGGACCAACTGGGAAGACTCTAGTCATGGAAGGACAGTAAACCCCCAGCCCAGAAATCTTCACACTACCTGGGTTGTGATGTAGTTACAAAAGCCTCCACACTTGCTTTCCAGCACACATAAAGAGGGAGTGGATGAGTGTTTGGGGTCCCCCACTGCAGCCTACACTTGACAATGGCTCAGAGACTTTGCATTGTCCCCCACGTTCATCTAGGACCAGCTTGACAAAAAATCCTTCTCGTTTCCTGTAGTTGGTGTTACTACTACCAACTAATTTTGGGAATTATTTTCCTGAAGAAAACCTCAACACCAAGCAGCTCAGTGTTGCTTCCAGATCCCCACTGAGTTTGAAGGTGAGGTGCTGACTCTTCCAAAATAGGCTCCAGCCTGGTAGCTGGATCCCTGTGGATCCAGAACCTAATGGTCAAGATACTCTCCTGGAGGTGGAGGGGAGGGTGACCTTTGGAAAGCTCTTTCTGAACTTTGCACTACTAGTCTACATCACTCCATGCTCTCTGGATCCTTAGACCCTCAGAGACATACACGTGGTGAGCTCCTCATCCTCACGTCAAGGTGATCCTAACTCAATAGTTACCTTTCCCCAGAGAATCTGGAGAGGGCCAAGTTTAGCTCTGGCCACTTTTATAATGATGGATTTATGCAAGGCAACAGCTGGAGCAAATAAGTGGGGAGACAGAGGCGCCTCCCACAAAGGCACTTACATAGATTCACAGCATTGAGCATGCCTGTGTATGGGGTAGCACCCACAAGCTGGTACAGCAGGCCCACACGGTCCTGGACAGCACCCTCTAGCATGTTGTTCTGGACCCGTAGAAGGAAGAAAATGAGGAACAGACCCATGATCAGATTCTGGATGAGGCGCATAATCACCGCCTGCTTATTTCTCAGTAAGTTTCTTGTCACTCTTCTGAAAACCAAACAAAGCCTATTTTAATTCCTTTTCTTTTGTTTTTGGGAAATGTCTATAAAGACCTAAAATGGGTCATGGCTGTATTTCCAAGGTTCTTACCTCAAGAGAACAGCCAGCTTACAGAACACTCCAGGAGGGTCTTTAGTTTTGAAAGGAATCATGGGTAAGGTTTTCAGGTGTTTTGTTCTTTGAATATTCTCCAAAATTTTGTGATTGATTGCTGATTCTTTGAAGGCAGATTCAAGAATCTGGACACGTTTGTAGGTTTCTATTTCTCGTTCTTTGCTCTGAGTATCCACTGACGTCAAGTCCACTAAAATTTCCCCCCAAAAGATAGGACCCATATATTTTTATTTATTTACTTACTTACTTTGGTCTTTTTGAGGCAGGGTCTCCCTGTAGTCCCAGCTGACCTGGAACTCACTATATAGACCAGGCTGGCCTTGAACTCACAGAGATCTGCCTGCTTCTGCCTCCCAAGTGTTGGGATTAAAGGCATGCACCACCACACCTGGCTAAGACCCATATGTTTGTTTGTTTGTTTTTTTAATGCGAGCACATGCGCACACACACACACACACACACACACACACACACACACATACATAATGATATATGGTCCATCAGTGATTCAGGAATACTAGTCACAATGCCTCATCCCACCACAGAAGCACCTGTTGTTAATGACCATCTGTTAAATCTTAATTACCCAGAAAATCTCGTTAGGATTGTCTGAGAGGACTCAGCTCAGTTTTTGTCTGACAACGTAGGAATGCGCCAGTCTGAGAAGGAACCCCTGTCTTATTCTGGTAAGTCACAAGCTAATTGACCTGCCAAATTAATTACTTGAAAAAAAAACCACCACTACTATCACCACCAAACCCCCAAATCTGTAAGAGCCAGCATCATCCAGACAGAAATCAAAGAAAAGAAATATTTTTAAAATATTCATAATGGAGAATGTGAAAGAAACACTTACTGTAGAAGTCAAAAGGGTTAGAATGTTCAGGACAAGGATAACCACAACTGTTGAAGAAATCAAGCATTTCCACAGGTGTGCCGCAGAACACCAGCTCTCCGTAAGTCAGGATGGCAATTTTGTCAAAGTGCTGATCAGACAAGACAGCGTCAGTGTGTGCTCATGTCACCATGTCCTTATGAACTAATTGTCCAAGCAGCCAATTAGTCCTTTGTTACCTGGGTCATGTATTTTTGTGGGTCCATTGGAGTCGTGGAGATATGTGGAGAGACATGTCTCTGCTTAACAGCCTGGTTACCTCTGAAGGTCATGCTGTATCATACTGAGCTCCAACATCATCACATCTGGGGCAGAGAAGAGCTACTGGGCATGCCACTGAGAGATAGACCTTCGGTAACCTGAGGTGTTTTGTGTATTGCTTATGTTTGACATACCAGATTCTCATCTATAAAAAGCAAATGACGGCTAACCGAAAGAATACTAGGAGGAACCAATGAGGTTCCTTTTGGAATCCAGTCTATGATTCTGTGGTAAAACAGCCTTGGTAGCTATACTGGGCCATGAATGCCATTGCCGGTTCTGTGTATGTGTGCATGTGTGTCCATGTGCTCATGTGCATACGTGCATATGTGTGCATATATTCATGTGTACATGTGTGCTTGTGAGTGCTCATGTGTACATGTGCTCGTGTGTGTGTACATGTATGTGTGTTCATGTGTGTATATATGCGCATGTGTATGCATGGAGTATACATGTGCATGTGTGTGAACATGCTCATGTGCTGCACATGTGGTCGTGTGTGCATGTGTGTGTGCACAGGGTCATCTGCATGTATAGGGATGTACGTGTGTACACATGTTCATGTGTGTGCATGTTTGTGTGGGTGTGCATGTGTGCATACATGGTCATGTGTGTGCACGTGTTTCTGTGTGTGTACGTGTGCGTGTGTGTTCCTGTGGAAGCCAGAGATGACGTCGTGTCTTTCTCAACACCAGACGTCGTGGCGCAATGTACGTGTGTACACATGTTCATGTGTGTGCATGTTTGTGTGGGTGTGCACGTGTTTCTGTGTGTGTAGGTGTGCATGTGTGTTCCTGTGGAAGCCAGAGATGACGTCATGTCTTTCTCAACACCAGACGTGGTGGCGCACACCTATAATCCCAGCACTACACTCAGGAGAAAGGCAGGCAGATCTCTGTGAGTTTAGGGTCTGCCTCGTTTACATAGTGAGTTCCAGGACAGCTGGGGCTACAGGTAGATCCTGTCTCAAAAAGTCCAAAAAAAAAAAAAAATCAGTTGCTTTCCACCTTATTCTTTGAGACAGGGTCTCTCACTGAACCTGAAGCTCACCGATTCGGTTAAACTGGCTGGCCAGCAAACCCCAGGGACTCTCCTGTCTCTGCCTCCCCAGCCCTGAGATTACAGGCATGGGTCTCCATACACACTTTTTATGTGGGTGATGGAGCTATGAAGTCAGTTACTGAGTTACTGAGTCATCTCCCCAGCCCCTGCTGCCAGCTGTTTACTGACTTGTGACACGGGCTCCATTTTGAGTCATTTCTAAGTTGTACTCTTTTCCTCTGTCAAACTCTCCTGTCTCTGCCTCCCCAGCCCTGAGATTACAGGCATGGGTCTCCATACACACTTTTTATGTGGGTGATGGAGCTATGAAGTCAGTTACTGAGTTACTGAGTCATCTCCCCAGCCCCTGCTGCCAGCTGTTTACTGACTTATGACATGGGCTCCATTTTGAGTCATTTCTAAGTTGTACTCTTTTCCTCTGTCAAATGGGCTTACTGCTACTGGCTACAGAATTGTTGTGTGGACTAAAAGAGCTGGTAAATGGAACACGCTTGACACGAAGTAGGTGCCGGGTAAACTGCATCTTTTGCCCTTCCCAAGTCACTGGAGTACAAATCTCTGCCCACCCTGCCGTTCTCAGCTCCACACATCACATCCTTAGTCTTGAGCAGAATAAGAGATGCATCCCCTTACTTGGAACAGCTCAGAGCGAGGCTGGTGGATGGTGAGGATCACGATGCGGTCCCTGCGAGCCAGCTCTGCTAGGAGAATGACAATCTGATTCGCAGTCATGCAGTCCAGGCCTGTGGTTGGCTCATCGAACATCATGACCTCTGCCGGCAAAGAAGGGGCAGACAGCTGAGCCACTGCCCAGCATGCTCTGTGCTTAAAACTCAGAACTCTGCTCAGTCCTTCTCTGAGAAATAGCTGCCTGGAAACTGGAGTTCAGTCTGAGCCCAGGAGAAAGAACCTGACCTGGGAGGGCCCAGCTCTCAGCTCTGTAGCACACCTGAGGACAGGAGAGTGACCAGGTCAGGCCTTTTTGTAGTATGGACTACGTGGGCTCCATGCAGGGGACACTGACTTTGAACAAGGGCTAGTGGGTAGGTTTTGAAAAGGACTAAGAAAAGACTAGTTAACTTTTTTAGCTAGCACAGCCTGATTCATGTTAGTAGCACTTTCCAGTGTTAATAGGATCTTCACACAGCACAGAAATGAAATGAAGTCTGAAGTGGGGTAGGCATTTTTGTTTTTTAGAGGATTTAAGTGTAGCTCATTCCTACCTCCAAAGTGACAAAGGCTTTTAAGAGCATTTTCTTATTTACCATGAGGTGACCAGGGACCAACAGAAGAAGAGGCAGGCTCGGTCTACCACAGGGTAAAGAATCCAGGCTCGGTATGTCCTCTCCCAGGTGCATGTAAGTGAAGAGCTTTTCCCAAGTGGAGAGAGTGACAAAACCAGGCAGGAGGAGGCAGGACATTGGCTACCTCATCTTCATAGTCCCTTCACCATGACATAGACACTTGACAGCACATCGCTTTACTTCCTTCCATTTCCTGAACACTTTTAATCATATCAAAACTCTTTGGTTTTCTCTAGTGGACACAGTGGTGCTGATCAAGGAAGAACTAAGGATGGACAGTATGGGCCCCCATGTTCATGGAAGACTCAGGGACCACAAATACACAAATATTATAGTCCTAAGACATGTTCGGTGCAAATGGTCCTTGTCTTGTCAAGAGTTCTGTTCCAATAACCCCATAGTAAAGTAAAAATGTGTTAGTTGAAGATGCATTTAATACACCTAACCTACTGAACATCAGAACTCAGCCACACTGAACACTGTGGCATGTATCAATTATTTCCCTTCATGGTCAGCAGGAGTTTGACTTGCTGCTGATACCCAGCATCATAGGATATGGTACCACGTATCACTGAGGAAAGATCAAAATTCAAAGAACAAAAATATCGTTGAGTGCATATCACTTTCACTCCACCATAAGGTTGAACTGCTGTAACTTGAGAACCATCTAGCCCTGGATGATGGAATCTCACATGAAATGAATTACTTAGTGCTTCCCAAAATGGGAGTCTCCAGTTTGGAAAAACCTCAGGGATTTCAGTTCTATACACACTCCTTTCCCAATGGGAACTATGAAGAAAAGGCTTCAAGTATCTGAAGACACATGGACGATGCCCTGGCAGCAGCTGGTAACAGGTCTATGTCCTACTTACTAGGGTCCTGGAGGAGCTGGGCTGCGATGGAGACCCGGCGCCGCTCACCACTGGATATTCCCCCAAAATTATAGTTGCCAATGATTCGGTCTGCCACGTGGCTCAGACTCAGCTCTGCCATGACCGCCTCCACCTGCAGGAAACATGGCTGCTATTTCAGCTCATGGGCTGGAGATGGTCCACAAGAGGCAGCACCTCCCTAGAGTGCAGGAGCTGCCTTCAGACTCTCTATACCCTGGGGATATCAGGTCTAGTAGAGTAAAAATTTAGTGTGTGTGTGTGTGTGTGTGTGTGTGTGTGTGTGTGTGTACACTCATGCCACAGCGCACCTGATGAGGTCAGAGGACAGCTTGCAGGTGTCAGTCCTCTCCTTCCACCACGTAGGTTCTAGGGATCGAACTCAGGTGTGGGCTTGCAGCAGCACATTTTCTCACTGTATTAGTTATTTTTCTGTTTCTGTGATAAAATACCATGATCAAGGCAACTCATAGAAGGAAGAGTTCATTTGGGCTTATGGTTCCAGAGGGATAAGAGTCCATCATGGTGGGAGAGGCGTGGCAGGAGGCAGCAAGAGCAGAAAGCTGAGAGGTACTATCTTCAAACAGCTACAGGAAGCAGAGAGGGCCAAACCAGAAGTGTCTCAAAGCCATCCCCAGCGATGTACTTTCTCCAGTTAGGCCACATACCTCCTAAAAGTTCCTGGGCCCTCCCCAAACAGTGCCATCAATTGACCAAGTATTCAAATACTTGAGCCTGTGGGGGACACTTATTCAAACCACCAGACCCACTGAGCCATCTCACCAGCCTATATGCAATTATTTTAAGTCCCTATAGTAACAAAAACTGCTTAAATTTGCTTAAGGGAAATTTGCCAGAATTTGTCCATTTTTAGTCCAGTCCATACAGAAAAATGTCCCAAAGGCATAGTTATAACTTTTAAGTATTTGGGTCTTAAAAGCTTATTATCACAAATGCTTTATGTGTTTTTAAAAAATGCAGTTTGGTTTGAAGTGAACTCCATTTCCCTTTTGTAACTTGAGTGAGTCCTGGAGGCTCAGGTGGTCAGATCTCAATGTGGTTTTGCATCAGAGGACTATAATCTGGCTTCCAGAAGCAATTAAAAACAATTCCAATCTTTACTCAAATCTCTTTAAGATCTTCCAATGGGACCCAATTTATAATCCACAGCTACATTTCTACACTTCTAATTCCCTTTCCAGGCCTCTTCATTCTGCCCACACCCTGCAGCAGCCCCTCTCCTCTCCTTATTCTCAGTGTCCCATACTAATAACAACAAAAAGTCCTTACTGACTTTCTAAGAAGGCCAGCATTTGCCTCCGTCTCCCTCTTCCATTCTTCAGCTTATCTCAGCCTCAGAGACCTGTTGGAAAATCTCTGCTTCTACTGCTCCCCTCTCCCACTCCCCTTAATCTGTAGGAAGGCCTGGGGGAATCAGACAGGAAACTGAAAACAGGATATGGCAAAGAATTTGTTTCCATCCACCGTCAATGAAATTGTGCCCCTTTCAAAAAGAAAAAGAAAAGAAAAAACAATATATCGATTTGAAAAATAACCCTACTACACTAGATTGCAGGAAAAGAGAGGGTAACTTATGGAGCAGAATTCCAGAGGAAATGGGACAGAATCATCAGCAAAAATGAAGATGTAGCCCACAGAAGGGCGTATTTACAGTAGAGGTAAAGGGATGGTGAGAAGGCAAAGATGCATCAGTAAGCTAGTATGATATTGACTGGGAAAAGCAAGGGTCTCCTCTCCTCACCGGACTAGAAGGGCCCTAGAACTTTGCTTGACATGACCTGGTTTGGGTCAGGGAAGACTTCTGAGAGCCTCCTCTGTGACATCAGGAAAGCAGTAAGCTTGCCCCTCTTGTCTTCAAAGGGACAGATATAGGAGATATTGACTTAACCTGTCTCCCATGTCTCATGTCCCAGCCAGGCGTTCTTTGATATTTTGCAACCTGTTGGAAATGGAACTCTGTTTTTATGCTCTGGACCCTTACTCTCTTCTTCACATAATCTGATTTATTCCTCACATTGACCACAAGTAAGATGTATTATCATTCTACTTATTATAGGGAAAAACAGCTATTCAGAGTGGTTCATAATTTTGCCTAGGTCCTGCCATTAACAAATGGCAAAGTTGGGACCAAGAGGACTCTCTGGACTCTTTGTGGCCCAGGAACACCAGCCAAGCAGTCACGGCCTGCTCTCATCACCCCGCTTTCCTACAGGTTCTCTGAGGGCAGAGTAGACCTTGCTAGGCTATCCCTTCTGCCAAAACCAGCATGTCATTTTTACTAAGTTAATAAGAGTCCAGACGCCATTGTCTGGATTTGCTCAGAAAGTACCCATGAACAGGCACAAATCTGTCCTGTCAACCTTTGCAGGGCATTTCTGGGCTCTCTGCGGCAGCCACTAGGAACACTAATTAGAGGGTAAACTTGTCATCAGTTGGTTTCAAGGTCCCCACAGCTGAATATTTAAGCACATAGACTTCTCAGATGGTCTCAGTAGGGTAAATAAATCACAATTTCTTAAGAATCTTTCCTGTTTTCATTTCTTCTACCAACATACCAATTACGGGCTGAGGATGAACTCAGTGAAAGAGTGGTTTACCTAGCACGTGCATCAGCACTGCAAAAAAGAAAAAGACTTTTTAAGTAAGATTTGTCCTCTTCATTTTGATAGAGAAATGCTAAAGCATGCAGAGAGAAAGCAGAGGGGCTGTGTGCCCTGGCTTTTCATCTGCCACTTGGTCAGGACCTCCAAGCCATGTGAACGTGCCTACACACACCTGCCTCTCAGGAGCATCCAGTATGATAGGCTTGATGAGGAGTGGGCACCTCCAGAGTAAAATCTGTCCCCCAGAATTGTTCAGGAGTCTCAAGTGGAAGACAGTCTCTCACCTAAGACATAACAAGCAAGCCTGCTTCCCAGAGAACTGTGCCTTTTTACAGGTGACAGCTCTACCTGGGAAATCCCAGAACTTCGTACACAGAACTGAGCAACATTTCCAGGTAAGGTTAGGGTGTGTTTACCTGTGGCTACTTCCAAAATGGGTACATTTAACATACAAACTGGAACCTAGAAAAAGTGATAACTCCAGAGTTTCTTTCTTCATGAACTCAAGACTATTTTGAATGAGGCCCCTTCAAGATGCCTCAAAATGCAGAGGAGATGGCTCAGCAGGTAAGAGGGCTTGCCACCAAGCCGACTTGAATTTGGTCCTGAAAGCCATAAGGTGACAGATTCCCACAGATCGTCTTTTGACAGCCACAGGTGAGGTATTTGTGCACACACACGCACACACACACACACACACACACACACACACACACACAAATAATTTAAAATTGTGTTAGTATTTTCTCATTCCGGATGAGATAACACACTGTTTTCTCACACTGTGGGAAGTCCAGCCACATGCCTGCAGAACATCTTAGGCTGGACTGGTCACTTTTCAGGTGTTCAAAAGGCATATGTGACTGCCACCTAGGATGGCGCCAGTGGAACAGAGTACCAGGGTTAAAGCAAGGAGGAGAATGGGTGAGGCCAGGAGGTGGCTGGAAGAGGGGCTGCTGAGGCACCAGGTCTCCAACCTGGGGAGTAGCCCTCACCCCAGTTTCACTCACCTTTTTTTTTTTTTTTTTTTTTTTTGTTCTTTTGGGGCGGGGGCCCCCTTGTAGGCCCCGTTGACCCAGACCTCGTTATGAAGACTGGGCGGGCCCCACAGAGATCCGCCTGCCTCTGCCTCCCAAGTGCTGGGATCAAAGGCGTGCCGTTCACTCACCTTTTTATGGTAGAAGTCTGTGGAGCTGCGGCGCAGGGCCAGCATCGCTGTGTAGCTCAGCGTCTCACGCACAGTGAGGCTGCTCAGAAAGACGTCGCTCTGCGGATGCGGGGAAGGAGACTTCAGCATCACTTGAACCCAGGGGAGTGGGGGAACAGGACCAGGGACGTGCCCACCTGCAGGACGTAGGAGAAGCAGTCCTGGAACTGGTCCCTGCGCAGGGAGCGGCCGTTCACAAACACCTCCCCTTCCAGGGTCCCAGTGCGCCTCAGCCTCCCGGAGATAGCGTCCAGCAGTGTAGTTTTCCCTGAGCCTGGAGGTGACAAGAGAAGGCCGTGGAGGAGCCCCTGCATGAGGACAGTGGAGAACTTCCCTAGACCCTTTGTGCTATGGTGGGACCTGACTGCCCCTCTCCATTGCCCCCTGGATCCAAATCCTAGGGCCCAAATAAGTCCACCCCATTTGTCCTCTGAGTGAAGGGTGACAAGCCTAGTAACGGGCCAACACACCAAGAAAAAGTGTCCACTGCATTTGGTGACAAGAAAGTAGCTCTCTTTCTAGAGAGATGATTCAGTGATTAGAAGTACTCACTGCTCTTGCAAAGGACCAGGGTTTCGTTTCCAGAACCCACAAGGAGGCTGACAACTGTCACTAACTCCAGGGGATCCTCCACCCTCTTCTGGCCTGGCAGACATTGCACCCACGTGCATATATATACATATATGCAGGAAGGGGCTGAAGTGAAGGCTCAGAGCTTAAGAGCACTAGCTGCTCTTACTGAGAACACAAGTCAGATTCCCAACACCCACAAGCAGGTTACAATCATCTGCAACTCCAGTTCCAAGGAATCTGAGGCCCTCTTCTTACCTCCACTGGCATTGTATGCCCGTGGTTCACTTACATACATACAAGATAAACACTCATGCACATAAAAATAAAAATAAAAATACATTGTGGCAGGCTCAGTGCCTGCTTTTAATTCCAACATTTGGGAGGCAGAGGCAGACAGATCTCTGTGAGTTTGAGGCCAGCCTAGGCTACATAAGAGTTTCAGGCTAGTCAGGGCTACCTATCTCAAAAAAATTATAAAGAAATTAATTTTGAGCTGGAAAAGAAGCTCAGTTGTAGAACATTTGTCTGATATGCACAAGACACTGGTTCAATCCCAGCACCACATACACAGATGGAGGAGGAAAAATGACTTTATTGGAGTTGTGCTCTAACTTTCCTGTCATGATCCTTGACTTCCTGTGTGGTTCCTCCAATCAGAGCCTCCCAGACCTGACATTTCTGAGTCTAACCTCAACTCTGACCAAAGATCTAAATATCCTGTAACCTGGGTTCTAGCCTCACCACCATATCAAGACTGGTTTCCCCAACGACATTAGGGCGACTTTCTTGTCACCAAATCCAGTGAACTCATCTGGGTGGTGTTTGACCTCTCAGCATTTGCTACCGCTGCCTATCCCCTCTGTCTGCCACTGCAGCTGCCTACACTCACCTCGAGGCTGCTGCTTCTCGGCCTCATACGGGACCCTCAGGGCTCTCCCTTCTTGCCTCCAGGTCTCATTGAACAATAGAGAGCACTAACTTGCTACCCAACATAACACACCACTATGGAAATAGATTCTTCAGGTGCCTGATATCGCATTACAATATGGTCTTGGGAACTAATACAGTTGTGGGGGCACAGCCGTCATGATTGGGATTAGTACCCTTATAAAAGACATTTGAGGGCTTGAGAGATGGTTCAGTTGGTAAAGTGTTTTCTGTCCAAGCATGAGAACCTGAGTTCAGACTCCACAACCCATGTCAAAATCCTGGGCATAGTGGCACATGCCTGTAACCCTGACACTGGGGAGGTAGAGACAGGAGGATCCCTGGGCTTGCTGACCAGCCAGCCAGCCTAGCTGAATCAGTAAGTTCCAGATAAAAGTAAGAGTCTCAAAAACCTAGATGGAGAAGTGGCTGAAGAAGACAACCAAGGTTGACCTCTGGACTTCACAAATGCACAGACATGTGCGCCCTGTACCCACACATGCAAAAATAATTAAAGAGATTTTAGAGAAGCCCTTTATCCCTTCCACTATGTGAGACTGAGTGAAAAAAATAACTGTGTATGAGGAAGGCTCTTACTATGATTTGAGTATGAAATGTTCCCCATAGGCTCATGTGGATCCTCAGTTGGTGGTGCTATTTGGGGAGGTTCTGGAAACTGTAGGAGGTAGGGATTAGCTAGAAGAGGTAGAGGTGTCCTTGGGCAGATCTTGTATCTGGCCTTCTCCTATTTCCTCTCTGCTAACTGTCCATTGTGATGTAAGCTGCTCTGTCATAGCTCCCAGCTATGATGAACTGAACCCTCTGAAACCATGAGTCAAAATAAACTCGACCTTCTTTAAACTGCTTATGTCAAGTGTTTTGTTCACCATAACAAACAGCTAAACACCCACCCTCACCACTCACTACATGTGTCAATCAATTGATCTTAGGTGTCAGTCTCTAGGACTATAGGGAATAAGTATCTGTTGCTCATACATTATAAGCAGTATCTAGTATTGTCTTATAGCAGTCCAGTTGAACTAAGGGAATATCTTTGCATGTAACCTTAATATTACTGTTGCCATAGAGCTGTGCATGTGCTGTAGCAGACAAGCAGTCATGGGTTTAACTTGAGGCTATCTTAATCCATTTTCCATTGCTATAGTAAAATACCTGAGATTGGGTAATTAGTAATTAGTGTGTGTGTGTGTGTGTGTGTGTGTGTGTGTGTGTATCTGTGTGTCTGTGTGTCTGTGTGTGTTAGCTCACAGTTTTGGAGATTCAAAGTTTATCTGCTCAGCTCTAGGGACAGCCTTTTGGCTAAGTCACAGCATGGTAAATACCATCACAGTGTGATGACATGTAAGACGGAGAGACTGCATGGTGAGACAAGAAGCCAGAGGGATTCAGGGATCAGGCCTACCTTTTATACCAATTTGCTATAGTGGGAGCTAATCCAGGCCCTGTAAGAACTACAGTAATACTTTCAGGGGTTATGCCCCATGGCCTAATCATCTTCCACTAGACCTCACTTCTTAGAGATTCCAGTGTTTCTCAACATTTCTACAATGGGGAACAAGCTTCTAACACAGAATTTGGGGGGACACACTCAAATCACATCCAAACCAATGCCATGCCTAATTCTTGTCACAGACTTGCATTGCCTATGTCTAGGAAAGAGAGTAATGCAAGTAGACAGTGGGTTAAAAGTCAGCAATCTGCAAGCAGTTGCTCAATCAAGAGGCTTTTATAGAGATAAATTTGTCAGAATCCTTAAATTAAGACATGTAGAACAACCCATTGTTCTACAACCCACAGCCCTGAACTGTGCCATCCAGGGGCCACCAGCGGCCAGTGCACCCCTTCCCCAGATGCTGAAAATGTTGGCCCTGAGAATTCACACCTGTGAGCCTCACAGGGACCTGAGAGGAAATCCATCCCAGGAAAATGAGTAGTTGATACAAGGCACAAAAACAAACATGGAAGTCGGGCTCAAACATTACAGTTTCCTCTGCAAAGTAGAGGGAAAGACATGGGGAATAGACACAAGAGATGCCTCTGCACTATCTGTAATGCTTAATGTCTTAAAAAAGAAAGAGACCCAAAGCAAATATGTGTGCTGATAAGGCTTGATATTGACACATGGATATTTTATATTATTCTCTATTCTCAATTGTGTGTCTGAAGAGCAGCATAAAGAGAAAGGGCCAGTGACATGAAATATGGGTGGTAAGTGGGCATTTTTGTGCTCATTTACTGCCTTACCCTGTCTCTAGATAGGATGCTAAGCACCCCCTGCATGCTAGCCACCTTGGCCAGGACTCTCCATACTTGGAAATAGGAAACTACTTGCAGGGCTAGGGCTGGGACTCAGTGGTAGAGAGCTTATCTAGCAGGCATCAGGCTGAGTTGAACCCCAACACCAGGAGCATACAAACAAACAAACAAACAAACAGAAAATGCACTTACATGTCAGGTAGGACTGCTCACTCTTTCAGGGACTTTTCTCAAGGCTTCAGATTGGTATCAAGTTCCATTCACAGTCAGACATGTCATTAAATTTCATTCTAATACCAAATACATGGTCTTTCTACACTTTAAATTTACTTCTTCAGTGTGGTACTTAAGTCCAAACCTCCCCAGAGCTCTCGCTGGGAAGTAGAGCTGCTTACCTGAACTGCCCAAGATGCACATTATCTGCCCACTCTCCAAGTACAAGGAGACATCTTTGAGGATCTGCCGTTCCCACCGCTGCCGGTGTGATTTGATATCCCACCAGGGCCCAACACGGTTACTTTAAAGAAAATTCCATGAGATCAAAGTCAGTGTAGGGTCCTGGAAGGAGCCAGACCTGGGTTCTCCAGTGCTAAACCCAGCTCTACCCTGCCCCAGTTGTCACTGGACAACTTTGCACTATATTTCAACCTCTATGGCCTGCTCTGCAGTCCTTGGAGAGGTATGGACAGCCAGCTGGCCACCACCCAAGGGAAGGGCACCTGGTAACAGCTCTGAATGTCAGGTCTCTCTGTCTGGCTGTGGGATGCTAACAAACGCACTGGTCATTCTTGAGGTGGACCCTACAGTACTTCATTCCATCTTGTGCCTCCAGAACCCAGACTCTCTGAGCCCTTTCCATCTACACAGGGCAGGTGATAGACAATCCAAGGAAGGGGTGTGGGCAACCAAAAGTGATGTGAGGCAATGAACAGCACCAGACAGGGCACAGTTTAATGGCCGGGTCCTGCCCTGGGCAGAAGGAGGAACTATTCACTACTGTTGCTATTATCCCTTGGCAGCCTTGCCCACCTCCACCATGACCTACTAAGTAGACACCCCAAGGCTCCCAGGCCCACTCAAGAGGCAACAGAGATGGTGGGAACCCTAGTTTTCTGCAGTGGAGCCCCCTTACCTGACACTGTAGGAGACATGGAGGACACCCAGGCTGTGCCGAGCCTCCGAGTCAGCAGCAGACTCCTCCTCCAGGGAGCTCTGGGAACCTTTGTTGATGTGAGATCCTCCAGCTCCCTCTGGACTCAGAAAGGGCCGTTCACTCATGGTCAGCAGATGGCAAAGACAAGTGAATTTTCTGGTGGGCTGACCCTCTCCAGAGTGGCTTCAACTGACGAGCCAGTGGGAGTGCCCTGCCTGCTCTTACCCAGCCCTGGAGTCTCTCATGAGGCAGCAAGACAGGGATTTGGCCACCAATGCCATTATCTGATGTACCTTTAGCCAGAGCGTCCTTATCTCAACAGTGGGCAGAACACACAGTGTGTTTGTAGGAGGGCTTGCCAGAGAGGAATGCTGGATCAGAGGTTGGCACAGAGAAGGAAGGCTCAGGTGGCCTGGCTCTAGGAAGGAGTACTGGCCCAGGCAGCAGCAGAGAAGGTCCATAGGAGCCACACAGAGGAGTGCAGACCTCAAGGGCCCCAATGGCTGAGAAGACCACAGAGGAACACCAGCTGTGGAATGAGGCTACACCTCAGGATGCTTCGGTAAGTAACCCTTGCCACCTTGGTCCTGGGGAGCGGTGTAGGATCGGACCTTTCCTTCCTTTGATCCTAATTCACCATCTGGATGCTAAGCCAAGTGGAAATGTGGCAGTAGGACCCTATCTTCTTGGTGTTGCCGGGAGGGGAGGAGAGCAGGTTCAGGAGCCAGGAGGCCCCTGAGATCACTTTCCAGCCCTTCTTCATGCTCCTAAAGGGAAAGGATGTTCTTGTGGGTGATTGGAATTGATTTCAAGTGTTCCAGTGAGCTCCCCAGCAACACACTCCCATGTAACAGAGACTTTCCTGAGGCATCTTTTGTCCATGTGATGGACAGGCCAAGAGTCTCAGTGGTAGAGTAATAGATTTGACAGGAGAGCAGACAGGAACATCAGAAGTCTATGGCTGCAGTCCTAAGATCTGGGAGAGAGCTAGAAACCACAGACAGGAGCTAAGTGGCCAAGAAGTGGAGGTACAAAGTTTACTTCCTCATTTAACAGAGAAATGTTTACTTGACAAGCAGCCTTTATTTGGGGAATGTGGGCAGGGCTTGAAGCAGAAGGGAAATAGATTCCCACTCCTCAGCTCCTACATCCCACCCACTTTCTAGAAAGCCCAGAATGAGATTTCCACACCCAATGCGGAGCCACAGCCCCCTGGGCTGGTCAGGCAAGGAACCCACCATTGCTGTCTGAATTCTCCATGGGGTAGATACCCATGAGGAAATGACTCCTACTAGCTGCTGCCTCTTGGAACTCTGATGCTCAGCACCCCTTGAATAGGATATAAAAACAGTGGTGACTTTGGGGACTTTTGCCCCTGCAGGTTACCACCACAGCTTAAGATATCCCATAGATAAAAATGCATGTGGTCCTGCCGTTCACTATTCCTCTTCTGCAATCCTGTTATTTTAGGTGTTCTGCAGTGTGGTCTGCCCCTAACAATTGTGGGGCTTGGAACAAATGCTTTATGTCTCCATATTTAAAAGCTATCAATCAGTCTAGAACTATTAAATAGTTTCCACCCTCTCACCTCAGCATGACTTCCTTACAATCTGGAAGGTTGGCTGTGAATTTAGAAATTCCAGGGTTTCTTGGAACAGCAGCCAGGATACGGAGATGCAGAAGAGCCAGCTTCTAGCCCATGCCATAGCCCATCTCCTTCTCTGCCTACCCAGTTCCACCTCACTCTACAAGGAACTCATATAAGGGTCATCCATTCTGTCCACTCACATTCTAGTCAGGCCTTCTACAGACAGATGCTCTGGATCTAGCTAACAGGTGCCCCCTTAAATGACATTGTGATCACTCAGGAAGATGGCCTAGGAGGAGGGATAGGTTCAGAACTGTCTGCACAGGAAATTCTGGCATTTAATACCAGGACTGGCAGGGACCATGGTCCACACACTCCTCACACCATGGGCAGGAATGGGGCCAGGAAAGCCTGAGCCTACAGCAGAGCTGGGTGAGATCTGGTCTGCATATGTCAACAGAAGTCCAGGGGTGTCCCCTAGGCCAGAGACAAACCCTTTTGGTCTCTGCCAGCCACAGTCCTCACTCAGCATATTCTCCCTTTGTGAGCTCTCCACTTGTCTGTGCTTCTGACTCAGGAATTTAATCAGAAGTTAATACAAGGAGAAATTACATTGTAGCTCAGCAGGAACTGAGCTGGTTACCTACAAATAAACCCACTTTTGCTTTTTTGGATGTCACCTGTCAAAAATTCAAATGATGTTCTGACAGTCATACTGATTAAAGTGTCAACCGAATAGATATTTAAGTATTTGAAAAATACAGAGAATTTGTCAAAACCTCAGAAGGAGTCTAACAAATCCTTCCTGGGTGCCAAGGAAAATATTTTAAAATGGAACAGAAGCCATCTCCAACCCAGACACGAATTTTTTTCTTCTGGAAGCTGAGCTTGTTTATGTGGATCCTGGAAGGTCAATCTCTCCATGATGGCTGGTGACGGTGGATTTGGGCCCTGTTCAACGGTAGACCTATCTTCCACTCTGTCCTTTCTGTCCCCTTGAGCCCCAGGGTCCTCACCCTCTCAAGCCACAACAACACAATAACTTGAGACCTCCCCACATTGTTCTAGACTATAACTCTCTGGCCTTTCTCCCATAGAGTCCCTCTACCCCTAAATCCAACCTGGTAATCCAACAGAAGCAGTTTCTGAACTAATTCCTATCTGACAACCAAGATCCCTCCTGCAGATATTTGATTAAAACTGAGAAACAGGCCTAAGGATATGGCTCTGTCAATAGAGTGCTTGCCTAGCCATGCCCTGAGTTTGATCCCCAGCACTGCATAAACTGAGTATGGTGGTACATGCTTATAATCCCAACACTGGAGAGATGGTGGCAGAAGTTCAAGGTCATCCTTGGCTACATAGTCAGTTTGAGGACAGCCTTGGCTACTTGAGACCATATCTCAAAAAACCAAAACCAAACAAACAAAAACAAGACAACAGGATGCAAATTAACCTAACTGAATTTCTGAGTAATTAATAGAATTAACTAGATGGTGTGGGTGGTATGGAAATGTTGAAGGAGAGCTAGGCTGCTAACCCACTCCCAGCAGCTGCCTGAGCCTGGATCTCTCCAGGAGCTCCACATGGATCTCAGAGGGTGCAGATCCTCTACCTCTCCTACCCCTACTTCTTCACCTGTTTTGGAGCATCTGAAGATAGGGTCAAGGTGGGACTAGAACTCAGGAATTCCCACTTACAAGCTCACTCCCTCAATTTGAAAACATTGTGAAATAGTTCAAATAAGCCCATCTACATAAGGAGCTCCCAACCTTCCACTTACCCATCATTAATTCCTTTCTCATGCTTTTACTGGATAATTTTGGTAAGAGTACAAACCTTGAATGTAAGTAGCTTCGGTGGGCAGTTTTTCATATTCTTCCAGCCCTCTGGAGACCACTCCCAGAAGGCCTGCTGCAGGCCGTGGGTGAGTCACCTCTGCCTATTTCTTTCCCATTGGCCTGCAATGTCCTTTTGAAAGACATATCCCTTCCCTCCACCGCTGTAGGGTGCAGTGGCAAAGAGAAAGAATTTAAACCTGCAGATGGTTGATACCTTTTAAAGCTACCAACCAATGCCATGAAGCACTGGTTTGAGGGCTGGGAATGTAGTTCAATTAGTAGGACGCACAGACCTTAGCACGCACAGAGCCTAGGCTCAATCCTGAGCACCACATAAACCAGGAGTGGTGGTACATACCTGTAATTCCAGCACTGGGGAGGTAGAGGCTAGAGGATCAGAAGTTCAAGGTCATCTTTGGTTGCTACAAAGACAGCACACTCCAGGCCAACCTGGGTTACATGAAACACTGCCTTAGAAAAAAGAAGGAGGAAGGAAGGAGGGAAGGAAGGAAGGAGGGAAGGAAGGAAGGAAGGAAGGAAGGAAGGAAGGAAGGAAGGAAGGAAGGAAGAAGGAAAAAGGAAAGGAAAGAGAAAGACTGGCTTGTTTGGTTTATATTCAAGGGCACCATCAGAGTTGGGGGCTTAGCTCAGTGGTAGAACACTCACCTAGTATGTTTGATGCCCTAGGTTTGATCCCCAACATTGCAAAAACAAAAATAAAATTCCAATAAAATATACCTCCATTTCAGAGAGTAGAACTGTATCACTAGAGGTGAAAAAGAATGGGGCAAAAGGGGATGGCGGGAGGTCAGGCATTCAAACACATATGGGAGAAATAAATTCTGGTATTCTATAGCACAGTGGAGTTGACATAACTTGCACCATTATTGTATAAAGACCAGAGGAGAAGAATCTGATGGTTTCCAACACACACAAAAACCAATAAATGGTCAAGGAGATGTAGGTCCTGATTACCCCATTTAATCACCATACATTGACTACGTATCACACTAGTGATCTCACTGTACGAATAAAAATGTACAATGAGACAATGAAAGAAAACACACAAACATGGCACTACTTCAACAATAAGAACATCATAGTCATGGTGGCAGTGTTGATGGTGGGGTGATGATAGTGGGGCTTCCTCTGAAATGTCCTCACAGCATTTTCTTCTCTTTAAATTTTTTTTTTACTTATTTTTATTTTATGTGTATGAGTGTCTTCCCTGCATGTATGCAGGTGCACCCATGCATGCAATGACTGCAGAAGTCAGAAGAGAGTGTCAGATCACCTGGAACTGGAGTCATGGATGGCTGTTAGCTTCCATGCGGATTCTGGGAGCCGAACCTGGGTCCTCTGCTGAACCATCTCTCCAGACCCCCACCCCCACCCCTGCCCCAGCATTTTCAATGGCTTTGTTGTACAAAATTCCTCATCAAAATAAGATACAATTTCCTGGGCTGATATCATCACAGATACCCAGGGTCAACTTGCTGCTGTCTGTCTGTCTGTCTATCTGTCTGTCTCACATGCTGTGTCTATTTAGCATTAGATGATATTAGACCATATACAGGGATGTGAAAGTCAAAGGCCAAGGGTTTTCAGGCTTCCAGCTCAGGTCTGCCCATTGGAGTCTGGCTATCATTCATCCTATGCTTCCTGGATTCAGGTGCACTAGCCTAGACTGAGGTTTTCTGGGGCCAGAGCAGTCCTGGAAAAGCCTCCCTGGAGGGTGGAGAGGATGTGCCCTCATCAATGCTCCTGTTTTCTGAGAGTCCTGGGGAACCACCTGAATGAGCCCTCCTACTGTCAGTGTGGGAGCTTAACCATGTTGTGAACAGCTGCCTGTGTCTCTTGGGTCCCCTCCTCCTGTCTTCTATTTCCTTAGTTGCCTCTGAAGGAGCTCCTCAGCTGTCATGTTCTCCAGCAGGTCCTCCAGGACAGTTTGTTCTCCTCTGAAAGTGACAACAGCTTATACTTCACCTACAGTGGCCAGTCCAACACACTGGAGGTCAGAAATCTCACCTACCAGGTAAGGGCACATGCCAGGGTTGGGGGTAGAAGGGTGGGAATGAAAAGGCGTAGAATGATAAGCCCAACCTGCAGCTCTCTAACCCCAAGACTGGAGTTCTGGCCACCCTGGGTGCAAACACCACCTGCAGCTGGAGGTGGGAGGCATGGAAAGAGATTGTCACAAGCCTCTTGTGAAGATGTTCAGGCTTACTATGAGGGCCTATGGGAAAGTCTCTAGAACTCTTAAGTTTCCATTTTGAAATAATTTTAGACTTTGAAAAAAGTAACAAAGGGGCCAGTGAAATGGCTCAGTCAGTAAAGTGCCTACTACGCAAGCCTCATAAACTCATGAGGACCTAAGTTCCAATCCCCAACACCCACGTAAGAAAAAAAAATGGGCAGGGCAGCACCTGTTTGTAATCCCAGGACTAGGAAAACAGAACCAGATGGATCCCTGGATCTTACTGGCCAGCAGCCTAGCTTAATCAGTGAGTTCCAGGTTCAGCAAGAGAGCAGATCTCAAAAATAAGGTAGAAAGCAGTTGAGGAAGACACCAGCATTGGCCTCTAGCCTCCATATGCATGTGCACATACAGATGTGCACACATGCATTCACAACTACACACACACATCTGTAGGAACATAGACATACATCCACACACAAAAGCAACAAAATTTAGTGTTTCCATATATCCTTTGCCTAATTCCCCTTAAAGTTAACAAACTATGTCGTGTAATTACCAAAACTAAGAAATTAACAATGTGTTATTAACTAAACTACAGACTTTATTGAGATTGTATCCATTTATGTCCATCTATCTTTGTAAAATGTATTGTCCCTGTTGCTAATAAAACATCCAAAGGCTATTGTGGGAAGTTCTTGGGAATGTCCTGGTTAGATTCAGGGGCCATATACTGCCCAGGTATGTACATCATGGTAAGGCCTGGGATGATGAACTTCAGAGTCCCAAACTGGCCTTAGAGCAAGCTGATGAGCCACACTGTAACCTTTCCCTGCTCTGCCACATATGATCTGTGCAACCTTGAGTAAGTTCCTTAACTGTTCTGAACCTTGTCTATGAAATGGAGACCATGGGACATCCCATGATATATGCTTGCAATGAAGAGCGAATGGGATAATGATACAGAGATTATCATAATGCCTTACAGGTGGTAAACTTTTATATGTTTGTTTGTTTATTTGTTTGTTTGAGACAGGGTCTCACTATGTAGCCATGGCTGGCCTGGAACTCCCTCTGTAGACCAGGATGACCTCGAACTCACAGAAATCCACCTGCCTCTGCTTCTGCCTCCCAAGTGCTGGGAGCCACCATACCCAGCCTTAGGTAGCAAACTCTCAATAACTATTTTCTGTTATTGCATATGCTTTCTGATCCCCTTAGCTCTAGACTTCAACAGGATGATGGGGCCTCACTGCCATGTTTGGTAGGACTTGTGTGTGGGGTGCCTCAAGATCTACAGTGCGGTATCAGCAGTGCGGTATCTCCTGTGGGAGGACACAGAACACAGGAGAGCGAATAGAAGCTGGTAAAGCAAGCCTTCTGAGAAACCTTCCATTGTCTCTCCACAGGTGGACATGGCCTCCCAGGTGCCTTGGTTCGAGCAGCTGGCTCAGTTCAAGATACCTTGGATGTCTCATGCCAGCCAAGACGCCTGCGATCTGGGTATCCAGAACCTGAGCTTCAAAGTGAGAAGTGGACAGATGCTGGCCATCATAGGGAGCTCAGGTATCAACACAGACCATGGTGGGACAATGGCTTCTACCCCCTGGAATGCAGAACAGCCTTCAGACATGGATGCTGCTTACAGAACTCTTTGCTGATGAGTAATACAGCAGAATTCTGGGTCAGACAGACCAGCTCACATGCCAACTCCTGCAGCCAGTAGCTCATGGATGTTGCTGCTGTCATGAACCTTGAGCATGCCTCTGTTCCACCTGAAGGTGTAGCCACAGCCCCTGTCTTCGTTTAATACCGGGACAGAGACAGGGTCACTTTAGAACATGATGTTCTTTTCAGGGACTCCTCCAGCCACAGGGTGCTTGCTCAGGTCGTTCCACTAAGCCAGAGCAGGTTCATGGTCAGACAATGACTCGGCAGGGCCCCGCCACTGCTGTCCCCTTCACAGTCCTGGAGCAACCTTCAACCACGTGCAAAAAGCCAGATTCTTGGAGAGTCACTTCCACAGACCAAATCTGAAATTATAGAACAGGGGACAAGGACCTTGGAAAACACTTCGATTTCCTTATTTTTTCCCAGTTTGCTCCCTACCAGCTTGGACGCTTTTTTTTCTTTCTTTCTTTCTTTCTTTTTTTTTCAGTCTTTTTGAGACTGGTTTTCCCTGTAGCCTCAGCTGACCTGGAACTCGCTATGTAGACCAGGATAGCTCGGATCTTACAGAGATCTGCCTGCCTCTGCCTCCTGAGTGTTGGGATTAAAGGCGTGCGCTACCACGCCCAGCCCTGGAAGCAGCCTTAAAGGAAGATTTTCATATCATCTAGTCCCCAATACTTCTAGAGTGTCCTTTTGCACATGTGTGCACCTGTATGTGCACACACACACACACACACACACACACACTTTCATTTAATAATAGGTCTCCTAAAGACATTTAATGTAGAGCTAGATTTTGAACTTGAACTTGGTGGTTCTTCCTGGGACATATTTACCCAGTATTAAAGAGAGCACTTTATACCTTTTAATTAATCATTTCCAGAGGTAGAGATTGCTCAATATTTTGGACATCTGTTCCAAACTTTTATGCTCTTCTGATAGAGGGTTGTTTATTGTCTAACCAAAGATCAAATGAGCTATGATATGCAAACGCACTTTGTAACTGAAACAACATGTACACTCATTCAGTCCCTCCTACCCTGGCCCTGACCCTGTGATTCTGACCTAAACAAGAAAAAAGTATTTTGATCCATAATGTCTGGTAGTTTTCTTGTGTTTTCTGAATTGAGATGTACAGAGCATTCCTTGGAGTCATAATAGTGAGCACACTTGATTTCTATATCCCTCTAGCCAACAGCATCCCTGATTTGTGGGCGAGGAAAGTGAAGTTCAGAGAGGCTGAGCAGAAATCACATTGGATAATATCTAGGTTCAGCATTGCTTGGGTTAGGTTTACTTGACTGAAATTATTGAAATAATTTTTTAGAAATGTTTATCCTTTATACCTATTTTTAAATTTTATTTATTTGTATTTTATGTATATGAGTGTTTTGCCTGAATGTATGTTAAGTGCACTGTGTGTATGTAATGCCTGTGGAGGCCAGAAGAGGGAGTCAGATACCGTGGAACTAGAGTTACAGACAATTGTTAGCCACCGTGCAGGTGCTGGGAATTCTACCTGGGTCCTCTACAAGAATAGTCAGTACTCTTAACTGCTGAGCCATTTCTCCAGCACCCCCATTATAGTTCTTGTGGCTTTTAGCACATACACATACCTGCATACACATATATGGAATGCTGGTCATAAGTTTTAAAAGCCAGCTTCAGTCATTTAGCTTCTATAAAATCAGCAATGCAAAAAGTGTTTTCCAATTCATGAAATTACTGGTGAGGAGATGGCAGCCACTTTACAAGAGTCTTGAAGATCCATTTTCTGTTTTGTTTTTTCTCCTGGTTCAGGAGAACCTATCCAAATGCATAAGCACTCTCTGTTGGAAAGGCTGCCTACACCTCTTACCACAAACTTTGCTTAGGAAATATGGTCTTCCTGCCCTCTAACTGGGTATCCCCTGGTCCCTGTGAAAGTTGGCAAAGTCTCCTGCACTCGCAGAGCCTGGAGCCAATGTTTGAGGCTGAATAGGGAGCAGGACTGAGACCTCCCTCTCTGGTCTCTCCCTGGGATATTTTGTTCTAAATAATTTTTCAGAAAGCTTTCATGAGGCACATCTAGGAGGCGGCATGTGAGCTGTTTCCACTCCAAGCCTATGGCCAGTAAGCAAGAGAACCACATGCAAAAGCCTCTGGGCTTCTGGCTTTTGTACTGGGTGCTGTGGGACGGCTGCAGGCAGCATGTGACACATGACAAGGAGGATTCGTCATCTCCTGTCTACTGACCTTTGCCTTGTTTTTAAAAAAAAGTTGAATGTTTGCCTTCCAAAAAAGACTATATAGTAAGGAAAACAAAACTTCATGTAAGAAACTTGAACAGAACTTGTCTCCAGCTCTGTGGTAAAAAGTGTTGTCCAAGATTGAACCCAAATTATATTCAGTTTGAACAGTTATAAGATAAAAAGGCTCATCAAATACTTTTGGAAACTAGATCTAATATGATGCTCACTTCTCCAAATTAATAGTAACTGATATGTCATTCAGAAGCAGAAGGTGTTAACTTGAGGGCAAAGGGTTTTTTGTTTTTGTTTTTGTTTTTCCTTTTTATTTTTTTGTCTGAGATGGTTTCCCTGTAGCCCCAGCTGGCCTGGAATTCACTATGTAGACCAGGCTGGCCTTGAACTCACAGAGATTCACCTGCTTCTGCCTCCCGAGTGCTGGGATTAAAGGCGAGCACCACCACACCCAGCCCTTGTCCTTTTATTTTTAAGACAGAATAGACTACTGATAAGAAAAGAGAGAAGAGGGGCTAGAGAGATGGCTCAGCGGTTAAGGGCACTGGCTGGTCTTGCAGAGGACCCGGGTTCCATTCCCAGCACCCACATGGCAGCCTACAACTGTCCTAACTCCAGTTCCAGGGGATCCAATGCTCTCTTCTGACCTCCATGGGCATTGCATGACACGGGTGCACTTACATACATGCAAGCAATATACTCATACACATAAAATAAAAATAATAAAGTATATTTTTAAAAATGACAGAAAGATATAGGCACATCAGGAACCTGTGTGTCACGGCACTTAACATCATTTCCATATCTATTATCTATCTTATTTTTAATCCCATACTTTGCAGAGTAGGTTGTGGGTTTGCATTCTTAAAAGACACCCTATGAGGGGCTGGAGAGATGGCTCAGCGGTTAAGAACACTGGTTGTTCTTGCAGAAGACCCGGGTTCAAATCCCAGCACCCACATGGCAGCTAACGACTGTCCGTAACTCTAGTCCCAGGGTATCTGACAGCCTCTTCTGACCTCCGAGGGCATTGCACCACAGGGGTGCACTTACCTACATGTAGGCAATACATAGATACACATAAAATAAAAATAATAAATAAAAGTTTTTAAAAATTTTTAAAAAACACCCTGTGAATGCTCCAAAGTAGTCGTTCCCACAAATAATGAATAATGAGATGTTGCTGACCCAACATCACAAGTACCTACACTTCATAATGTAAGGAACTTCAGCATTACTTGGGGGGAAAGTGCATTGGTTAGCAGTGAGAGGTGACAAGTGCTTCAGGCACAGCAGGCATGTGGCAGTCCATACTCCAATCTTCTCTTATGTTGACCTAGTGTCAATGTGTCCCCATGCTCTAAAAAGCCTACAAATTGGTTGTAGAAGAAAATCCTGAGGATACCCTCATTGGGTCTCGGAGCAGAGTCATGTTTCCTGGAGCTTGGTCAGTTCTGCAGAGCGGTCCAGAAGCTGCAGAATGTGTGGTGACAGCTGCTGGACTGTCCCCGGGTAGTTCCACCATCAAGAATGTCCCTGGTGGCTTTCCAGGCTGTGGGAGAGACTCACTGCTAGACGTCATCACTGGCCGGGACCACGGTGGCAAGATGACGTCAGGCCAAATCTGGATCAACGGGCAACCCAGCACGCCCCAGTTGGTGAGGAAGAGTGTGGCCCACGTGCGCCAGCACGACCAGCTGCTCCCCAATCTGACTGTCAAGGAGACCCTGGCCTTCGTTGCCCAGATGCGCCTGCCCAGAACCTTCTCTCAGGCTCAGCGAGACAAAAGGGTAACTAACTGGCTAGGTGGTGGTCCCCGGGGTCTGACAAGCCAATATCCTTGCTTTTCCAGCCCTTCCCTGCTTTCCCTCAAGCCCCAGCCCAGCTGGAGTTCAAGCAACCCAGCTCAACATGCCGTATGCTTAGCCAGGAAGCCTCTCAGCTTAGATGGGTTCCCTTCGGGGCACTAGTCAAGTGCATGATGAGTGTTTATTTGTGCAAGAGTTTCCTGTATTCCGAGTGGGCGAGGCCAACTAGCTGATCCCTAGTACCCAGCCCTATTTGCACTCCATGGCCAGTGCTCTGCAAGGTGAATCTGCTCAGAACCTGGGGCAGAATCAGGGGGACCAGCACCGCTGGGAAGATAGAGTGCTGGAGCCACCTTCCTCCAGCTCCAAGACCATAGCAGAGGAGCGGGTGTTTCTGTACTTTGGTTCAAATAAGTGTAGCCCTGGGGTGCCAGTAACGCTCAGCTCCCGGTCCTCAGGTGGAGGATGTGATTGCGGAGCTGCGGCTGCGGCAGTGTGCCAATACCCGAGTGGGCAACACCTACGTTCGTGGGGTGTCTGGGGGCGAGCGCCGCAGAGTGAGCATTGGGGTGCAGCTTCTATGGAACCCAGGTGAGGGCTGGGAACTGGCGGGGTGAGGGGCCTGAGCCAGCGCCCTATCGGGCTTGGCACCAGGCTCCCTATGTGATATCGGCAGGAATCCTCATCTTGGATGAACCCACCTCTGGCCTAGACAGCTTCACGGCCCACAACCTGGTGAGAACCTTGTCCCGCCTGGCCAAAGGCAACAGACTCGTTCTCATCTCCCTCCACCAGCCTCGGTCGGACATCTTCCGACTATTTGACCTGGTCCTTCTGATGACATCAGGCACCCCCATCTATTTGGGGGCTGCACAACACATGGTCCATTACTTCACAGAAATCGGTCACCCCTGTCCCCGATACAGCAACCCTGCTGACTTCTATGGTGAGTAAACAAGGCCAGTGGCCTGTGACAGGGGTGCACCCCCCCCAAATTACCATAAACAACAAAATACTTATGGAGAAGACCCAGGGGAGACATTGTGATGCAGTTGGGTGAGAAGGAAGCAGAAGGGGGTAGTGGTGTACAGGGTGGAGAACTGGTCTGTTTGTTGGGGTCAAATGCTGGGTGTGAGGACATGAAATAATCTGAAGAATCATCCCTGCTATGCAGGACAGGTTAGGAAAGGATGGGGCTCTGCAGATGGAGGGGTGTAATTCAGGTCTTTGACTGGTTTTTACAACTGTGGCCTTTATACAGACACTGTAGGAAACAGGATATTTTAGAGTCAGAACCATCAGTGGATCTTAAAACTGTGCCCTTGCCCTTATGCTCCCCAGAGGCAGGAAGTCTGCTAGGGTGAATAGGCCCAGGGCAGGGGCTGCTTAGGGCTTATATTGGCCTTAGCCAACAAATCTCTGGATGTGAACACTAGCCAGCCAGTCACTGACCTGCCTTTCTTTTGGGTCCCTGAACACTCAGAATATTGTACATAGGGTACCATAAAACACTTCTTTCATTCATGGGGAGCAGTGGCCTTTTCAAGGCATCTGCCTGGAAAGCATCACTCAAGAGTGTTAAGGAATGGCTGCTGAATACTACTCAATTGTACCAGCAGCTGCTCAGTGACCTAGGTTCTTTCCAGGATGGTAAAGTGTGGCAAGGAGCTCACCAATAGACCTGGTAACAAAGACCAGTTCTTTGAAGGCATACACTAAGTCCCAAAGTGTCAACCTCCAGAGTGTCTCCTGCTTTACCCTCACTCCTCTGTCAGGCTAAGGCCAGCTCCATCTTCGCACAGGAGAAGACTGGAGCTGAAAGAACTCAACGGCTTGCCTGCTGTGGTGGCACAGCTATGGGGAGATATATGTGGGAGCCCTCAGCCTTGACTCTGGCCATGCTGCCCACACTGGCTCCTGACCCTGTCCTGTGCAATCATGTGCTCAATGAACTCACATAGAAGTCACCCTTCCTCCCTGAACTCAGTGCTCAGGTGTCATCCTGGCTTCCAGCCCATCTGTCATTCTCTGGCCAATGTCCTCAGATAAGAGGGCAAAGGACAGCTGCCAACCTACTGCAGGAGAAAATTTGAAGTAAGCCTGGAGACAAGCTATCAGAAGTCAAACACCCATGGCAAACTTGAAAACTTTTCCTTTTCCTTTTGTGCTATTATTTGGGGGAAGTAAAGGTGGAGGTCCTTACCTGGGGCAGGTGGACCTCACCAGTGTGGGGTGCAGGAGCTGCTCACATGAGGCTGGGGGGTGCCTAGCAAATGTGATGTTTGATCTATATAGTCTTCACAGTGAAAACATGGTTTATAAGGTCCCTTCTACAAGTGATCTTGTCTTGTGATATGTAATGAAACAGAAGGGAAGAGGAGAGAGGTGAAAAGATTCCCAGCCATGCACAGTCCTGGGAGTATAGGAAGGCCCCAGTTGTGACTGATGGGATTGGCATTTTCTGGCATTATGAGGACACTGGAGGGCAAAGAACAGTGAGAGGAAGACTGTGGGGTGAGGCTGCCAGATCCTATCCTGATGCAGGGTGGTATCCTCTGGGATTCAGGAGGTGGTTCTCCCAGTGGCCTGGCTCCCCAGCTGGGTGGGCTGTTCCTGCTTTCCCCACTCCATGTACTTGGCTGGTCTTCAGCATCCTCCCAGCAAATGTGTTTCTTCTGCCTAGGCCTGACCCCTTGAGCAGCCAAATTATGAATTCATAGCAACAGAAAAATTACATACAGCTGAAGTCAGAGCCAGACATAACTGTGATGAGGTGTCTAGCCCAGAATGCTCCGCTCTACTTTGGGATGTCCCTGTGATGAGCCTGTGGGGCAGAAAGTGAGCCAGAGCGTTTGCCATTGACCACTTTATGATCCATAGCCCTCTCCTGAGGCGTCTACACAGTTGATCAGTCCAGATAAGGCAAAGGACCAGGTCTCTGACGATTGCTTAATGGTTCCCTCTTGGAGGCTGAGAAGCAAGTACTAGGGACCAGGTTGCCTATGGCTCTGCATCCTCTACTTACAGTGGACTTGACCAGCATCGACAGGCACAGCAAAGAACAGGAAATGGCCACTATGGAGAAGGTTCGATCACTTGCAGCCTTGTTTCTAGAAAAAGTGCGAGGCTTTGATGACTTTTTGTGGAAAGCAGAGGCAAAGGAACTTGACATGGGCATGTGTGCAATCAGGTACAGTGGGTCAGTGGCTGGAGTGGGAGACCCCTGTGGTGGGCCCTCAAAGTAACCACATACTGTTTCCCAACAGCCACACCGTCCCGCAGGATACCAACTGCAGGACTTCCACTGAGCTGCCTGGGGGGATGCAGCAGTTTGCCACCCTGATTCGGTAATTCTCAGTCATCTGTCCCCGACCCTCTAATACCTCTGAGTATCACATTAAGCCATTTCTATCCAAAGTGAATTTGAGAGAGGAATTGAGAGGTGGAATTGTCTGAAAACCAGAGTCCCCAAGACCAGTACAACCCTCCCGTGACACAGAACACTCCTGTTGTTCCTTGGCTCTAAACAAAATAAAATCACCTCAGTGGCAATGATCATGGAAGTAGCCATGTAAGTCATGTGAGAAACTCAGACAATAAGAGAATCTGACCTGGGAAGGGAAGAGCCCCTGCTGCACCATGTGCAAAGAAAGCCAGGCACACCTGCTCTGCACTGTCTTTATAGTGTGTCTCTGGCTGGACAGAGACATTTTAATATTTAAGTGGAATCAGTCTCTATGTACTAGTCAGTAACCAGCTTTTCTTTTAAGATTTATTTTATTTTATTTTTATGTGTGTGTGTGTCTGCGTGTGGATATGTGCACATGAGTATAGTGCCCTTGGAGGCCAGAAAAGGGCATCCGATTCCCTGGAGCTGGAGTTATAGGTGGTTATAAGCCTCCTGATGTGGGTGCAGTCCTCTACAAGAGCAGCAAGTACTCTAAACCACTAAGCCATCCTCCAGCCCCCAGTAACCTGCTTTTAAAACCTAGAGTCATGTCTCCATCTCCCCTCTGGTTATAGCACTCCAGCTTAGCCCTACTTCATTTAGTCCAGTCTATCTTGATGGTCCCCTTATCTGGGGGCTTTTGTCATCACAAGTCACATTGTGGCCAACATCTTTATAACTTGATTGATTTTTCCCTCAGCACAATTTCTGAAGTAGAGTCATCAGTAATGATAAAAGTAATAATCATTGCTGGGTGTGGTGGTGAACGCCTAGAATCCCAACACTGGGGAGGAGATGAGGTAGGAGGATCTCCAGCTATCCCCATTTTATAGATGAGAAAATGAAGCTTCTGGAGATTACCTGACATTCCTAAGGTCATAAGAATTTGCATATTGTTCCTTTGACACTTCTGTTTTTTTCTTTTTCTCTTTTTTTTTTTTTTTTTTTTTGTCTTTTTGAAGCAGGGTCTCCCTGTAGCCCCAGCTGAACTGGAACTCACTATGTAGACCAGGCTGGCCTTGAACTCACAGAGATCCACCTGCCTCTGCCCCCTGAGTGCTGGGACTACAGGCATGCGCCACCACACCCAGCTGTTTTTTTTCTTTTTTAAAAAATTTTATTATTTTTATTTTATGTGTATGAGTGTATTGCCTGCATATAGGTAAGTGCACCCATGTCACACAATGCCCGCGAGGATAGAAGAGGCCGTTGGGTCCCCTGGAACTGGAGTTACAGACAGTTGTTAGCTGCCATGTGTCTTCTGTAAGAACAACCAGTGTTCTTAACTGCTGAGCCATCACTCCAGCCCATGTTTTTTTCTTTTTTTAAGTCGTCAGATTTCCAATGACTTCCGGGACCTGCCAACCCTGCTCATTCATGGGGCAGAGGCCTGCCTGATGTCCCTCATCATCAGCTTCCTTTACTATGGCCGTGATTCCAAGCAACTCGCCTTTGGGGACACAACAGCCCTCCTGTTCATGATTGGAGCACTCATTCCTTTCAACGTGATTCTGGATGTTGTCTCCAAATGTGAGTATCATGTGCTATACTGACCAGACCATGGGGCAGCCAGGCAGGTAACATCAGCCACTCTCTGAGCTGGTCCAAAGCTGACCTCTGTGCTTCTTTTTTAAAAAAATATTTTATTTATTATTTAATGTGTATGAGTGTATTGCCTGCATGTATGTGAGTGCACCCGTATCATGCAATGCCGCGGAAGTCAGAAGAGGGCCTCGGATTCCCCTGGAACTGGAGTTAAGAACGGTTTGTAGCTGCCATGTGGATGCTGGGAATCGAACCTGGGTCCTCTGCAAGAGCAGTCAGCGCTTTCAACCTCTGAGCCATCTCTCTATGCCCCTCTGTGCTTCTTGAAGCACCTAAGGACAATGACTTTGTGGAATCATTTCATCATGATTGTGAAATAAATGACAGAAATTGTTTTTAAAGTTTGCACAGTAATATTAATATGCAAATGAAAGCAAATCAAGGTGTATTAGTCCTTCCTGCTAGAGCAGAATTTATGCTTGACTGTAGCTCATTACTATTCCTGGAGAATAGTAATATGAACATCTGGATGACTTCACCACGCCTGCAGTTTAAAAAGTATAGGAGGGGGCCATTGTGGTGGCACACGCCTATAATCCCAGCACTTGGGAGGCAGAGGCAGGTGGATCTCTGTGAGTTCAAGGCCAGCCTGGTCTACATCATGAGTTCCAGAACAGCTGGGGCTACAGGGAGACCCTATCTCAAAAAGACAAAAAAAAAAAAAAAAAAAAAAAAAAAAAAAGCAAAGTAAGTGCTGGAGAGATGGCTCAGTTGTTAAGAGCACTGGCTGCTTTTGCGAAAAGACCCAGGTTCGGTTCCCAGCACTCACAGAGCAGCTAACAACCATCTGTAACTCTAGTTCCAGGTGATCTGGTGCATCTTCTGGACATTGCACACGTGGATGCACTTATATACATGCAGGCAAAAACACTCATATACATACCATATACATAAGAAAAGGGAAATTTAAAAAGTATAAGAAGAAATCTAAAAGTATAACTACTGATGTTTTTTTCCAGTGCTGGGAATTGAACGTATGGCTTTGTGCATGCTGGGCAAGTGCTCTACCACTGAGCAACATGCCCAACCTCACACCCCTGCTTTCTATTAATCAGAAACACTGTAGATGACTTTCACTCCTTCATTCCCTTCTCTCCCCATTTTTAGGTCATTCAGAGAGGGCGATGCTGTTCTATGAGCTGGAGGATGGGTTGTACACTGCTGGTCCATATTTCTTTGCCAAGGTGACTGGTCAGGGTTATGAGTGGGCATAGGGTGAAGAAAGTCACAGGGCATTGCACAGACATTGCAGCAAAGTGTTTTGAGGAATACCAGATTATACATTATTTGTGATGTCAGATACCACATCCTCTAGGAGGGTTTCAAACACTTGCTATGCACCGAACAGTCCCCAGAGGGGCCAGAGCTGTGAATCAAGTGTGGTATGTTTCTGAACCTAAAGAGGAAGAAGTGGGCAACACCAAGCACTTTAGTTCTCCAGAGCCCAGGAAGAGGAGGTTCAGAGAGGTTAAATGGCTCTTCTAAGGCCACACATCTACTAGATCTGGACAGCAAGGGTGGGGAACTCTAGCCAGGTCTTAGCAGAGCATCTATCAGCTGCCTCCCTGGGGCAACAACTCTGAGCTGCTCCTGTATGGGGAATCAGGAGGGAATTCAGATTTCTGCGTCTTATCTGCCACACTGTCCTTCACCTAGAGGGAATGCTGATATCCTGAGGGTTGCCACCACAAACATCTTCAGATAATGGCAAACGTAAGTGTTGGTGTCATGTCTTAGTGGAGGACTGTGCTTTGCAGATCCTAGGGGAGCTACCAGAGCACTGTGCCTATGTCATCATCTACGGGATGCCCATCTACTGGCTAACTAACCTGCGGCCGGGCATCGAGCCCTTCCTGCTACACTTCCTGCTCCTGTGGCTGGTGGTCTTCTGCTGCAGGACCATGGCCTTGGCTGCTGCTGCCATGCTGCCCACCTTCCACATGTCCTCCTTCATCTGCAATGCTCTCTACAACTCCTTCTACCTAACTGGGGGCTTCATGATCAACCTGAACAACCTGTGGATAGGTGAGGCTTACTCCCTCTTGCTCACCAAGCATCTGTAGGCCTCCATGACTGGTTAGGTCTTTGCTAGAGGTGGACATTGATCAATTAGTTCCACTCTATGCCTTTGCCAGCTGTCCTGGAGGCTTATGGATGGATGATACTTTCTCACAGCCCTCACCTCTCCCCACACGTCACCCTGGCACTGCCCTCCAGATTCACCAGTGAGCCAGACCAATCTTACCTCCTTTTTGAAATGTCCCTTGGGCTCTACCCAGTCCTGGCCCTCATCACCAAACCCTGGGCCATCAGGATAGTCTAGGCTCTGTGAAGTTGAGCCTTCTTGGTGCACCCCTCAGCAGAGTGACCTTTTCTAAGGGACAGGTTACAGAAGCTGTTTTGTTCAAAGCCTTTCAAGATAGCTGGCCTTCTCGTGCTTCCTGGCTAGCTCTTGTGAAGCCCCAGCAGCCCCCCTTTCACTTTAGAGTCTATTGTGCCTCTTCTCTGCGTTCACCAAAGCCCACCTTTGGTATTCTTTCCTCCATAGCTTTCCTGACAGCTGGGCAGGGCTTTCTACCTCTTCTCTCCCAGGATAGTGCTCCACAGGGTCAGGGATGTCCCTGGAGGGCTGCTGAGTGGTCTACTAAGATGAGCACATGCAACCTAAGGAAGTGAGCCTAGAATTGCTAGGGATCCAACGGGGGGTCACCCTTCACCCCTTGGCCACCCCAGCCCAAATCCATGTCCCCAGCTGTGACCCTTGCCCCCTTTGCTCTTTTGTCCTCTCTTGTCTCTGTGATCCTCAGGACTCATTTCTGGTCACAGCCAGCACAGCCCCTCTCTCCAACAGAAGCTTCCACTTTTAGGCAGGGTACTGATGCCAGGCAGACCACTGGGATCCTGTGAATAACCCCGCTCTTGCTGTTCCCAGCACCTGCGTGGATTTCCAAGATATCCTTCCTTCGGTGGTGCTTTGCTGGGCTGATGAAGATTCAGTTTAATGGGTATCCTTACTTGACGCAAATCGGCAACATCACCTACTCAGTGCCTGGGGATAAAGTAAGTAGCAAAGGGTGGGGATTCTAAATTCAAGTGCAACCAAGGGGAGAGCATCCTTGTGAGCTCACTGAGTGTCTGTGTCTCCAGCTGGTCAGTGCCATGGACCTGAACTCAGAACCACTCTACGCCATCTACTTCATTGTCATTTGTATCAGCGGCGGCTTCATGTTCCTGTACTATCTGTCCTTGAGGTTCATCAAACAGAAGTCAAGTTGGGACTGGTAACGCCCACTGGTGGGACCCTTTGTCTGCAGTTGCTCCTCCTGAGGAGCCCCTTCCCAAGGCCCCTCAGGGCAATCAGACAGATGCTCAGCTGCTTCCACCCCACGGTGCTGCAGTGGCACAGGTCAGCCACAGGATGGCAGTAGAATAAAGACGGTTGAAAAGGATTTCTGATCACTGGCCAGAGCCTGTGGCTGAAGGGAGAAAACGGATTCTTGGTGGCACCTGCAATGTTGCTAATTTATTTCTTTGACTATGTTTTTATACAAGCAACCCAGTTTAGGATGGGAACAAATTAGGTGTGAATTGAGTGGCCAGGCATGCAGAAATTGCTGGAACCCAGAGTGGATGATGGCTTAATAGCTAGCAAAATGCTTAGCTTCATCTTCCAGTGTCCTTGTGTCCTGTGTTAAGCCACTCTCAATACGGAAGGCGACGTAAAACATACAAGTGAGATACCATCTCGTCTTTCTGCATGGAGACACAGACTCCAAAAACCAAAGTGAACAATTAAACATTTATCGAGCATCTACTCCGTGGTAGGGGTGGTACAAAGCATGTTATGTGAATGCTGTCATTAATTTTCAGAACAACCCATTGAGGCAAGCAGCATCCCATTTTATAGGTGAGGACACTGAGGCAAAGTCAAATTTAGTTTTCCATGGTCACATAGTTGCTTTTTCATAGAGCCAGAAAAAGCTTTGAGGCCTTTAGGAGTTAGGGAGAAAAAGGTCAGACCTTTGAAGCCCAAGATGCCTCCAGAAACAGTTTATAGAGATTGTGTCAGCTCAGCCCAGCTAGGCTTTACAGTTGCATCCCACTGGCTGTCTGGGTCTCAGGACCAGCTCTGAACCTTTCATAATGGCCAAGGGAGAGGATGGATTGCTGCACACCCAGACTGCAGTCTTCATGCCTGTGTTGTGTACTGCTTGACCCAAAACAGGTGCACAGAGGTGGCAGGGGATTGCTTCCAAAGGAAGAGCCTGGAACCTAAAGAAACATAGGTGAGGGTGTTCAGAGCCAAGGGCAAATGTTCTCCACCAGTTCCTTAGGCCCTGGCGGTGTCCAGCACGGTCCCTGGCCAGCAACATGGTATCATTGGGAGCTGGTGAGACAGGCAGATCCCAGGCCTCCTGCCCAGACCCACAGACTCAGAATCTGTGTTTTTAGATTCTCCCAGGGATTTGGATGCATATTCCAGTGTGAGGCGCAGTCCCATAGCATGCCATCCTTTCACAATTCACCCTTCACATTCAGGGAATTTACAGTCACATTGCCAAATCCAACAGAGATTCAGGAAGTGTTCTGACAATGTCCTCCTCCACCCAGAGCAGAGTTCGGTGAGGGTCATGGTTCTTTGATCTCCTTTGGTTTGGAACAGCTCCTCAATGCTCCTGACTTTCTAGGATAGCTTGATTTGTGTTGGACTGATATATTTTCATGATTAAATCCAGGCTGGGTACCTTTGGTGGGATATCCAGGAACGGTGCTGTTTTTTCCTAACGTGTCCCATCAGGTGGCACTTGGTTTCTACATGTCCCTGCTCATGTTCACTTTGGTCACCTGGTTGAAGTCCGGCCTTCCAGATTCTTCCCAGTCTCTATGTTCCCTCCTTCATAATGAGTAAACATTTTGAATGTAGGTATTTGGAAACTGTGAATTGATCATTCCGTATCACACTTTCCATTTATTCGTTTTGCTATTGCTATAAATTATATATTTGTGGAATTTCATTTTACAGAGTTATAATCCATTACCATCATTAATTTTAATGCTCAAATTGTCCCTGATTTTGCCAGTGGGATCCCTCAGGCTGCATCATTTTTTTTTTTTTAAAAGACAGTCTCCCTTTAACCTCAGCTGGCCTGGAACTCCCTATGTAGACCAGGCTGGCCTCTCAGAGATCCACCTGCTTCTGCTTCTGCTTCCCAGGTGCTAGGATTAAAGGTGTGCACTACACCTGGCCTTCTGCATTTTAAAAATCATGTTCCTGTGATTGAGGACTTTGTGATACCACAAAATGTTTCAGGTTCATCTTGAATTTTCCCATGCTAGTTCTGGAATTGGTTATTTGTCTGAAGAATCTTGTGATGGCTAATCTTGTTCTCATGCAAGGGAACAGGGAACCTTGATGAAGAAGGTCCTCCACCAGATTGGCCTGTGGCCGTATCTGTGGGGGCATTTTCTTGGTTGTTAATTGATGTGGGTGGGCCCAGCCCACTGTGGGAGGTATCTGTGGGCAGGTGGGCCTAGAGCCTGGAAGTGAGCCAGTAAGTAATGTTCCTCCATGGTCTAGTTCTTCAGGCCCTGCTTTGGCTTCTCTCAATGATGGACTGTAATCTGTATTCAAATAAACCCTTTCCTCCCCAAGGTGCTTTTGGGCAGTGTTTATCACAACACAAACCAAACTAGAACAAATTTTGATTCTTTTTAGTGGGAAATGATAGATCTGAGTATTGAATCTGCTGGGCATCACGGCTCCCAATGAAGAGTACATGAGTGCATGTGTGTACTCATGGCCATTGTTGCATATGAGTTCATGTAGATAGTATCTTGTTCCCATCTAGAGCTGACTCTATTGTAGTTTTCCTTCTTCTGTTTTGGAGAAAACTGACTTCTTAGTCTCTCATCTGATTAATCCTGCTTGTAGCCTACCTATCAATGCCTTTCAGTGTGGACTTCCTCCTCACTCTACACGTAGAACTGTCCCTGCATTCACAGAGCTCCCTCCTTAGCCTATTCTACACCCCTTCCCCAGCTCTACCCACTCTGTTGTGGTTACCCAGTGTCTTTAGGCCTGGATGGAGATGGAGGACAGAGGAAGAGGACACTGGTGTTTCTCACATTTGCCAGGTGATTTTGGCATGCAATGAAGGTTGACATTCACTGAGAGGTATCATCTGACTTGGTGTAAGTTTGCCACTCAGGATGCTCCGATACCCAGAAAGAAGGGGCAGGAAGTAAAGGCACTGAGGCGAGTGATGCCGAAATTCAGGCAGGTGCTGGTTCTTGGGGGCTTTCCTTAGAGCAGGCTTTTCTCCATCCTAGCCACCCACACAGAGGCCAAGTGTGGATCCTCACCAAGACTGATTTGTGGGTTGTTTAAAGTGTTTGCTGGATTTGACCTGAGGCTATGGCTTGCAGACTTGATTAGGTTTTGAAAACTTCATTTTAAGCCCCCCAATTCAATTTGTGATAATGACGGGAGGATTGTAATGAAATGGAAAATAATTACCTACATTGACTCAAATACTTCTTGATGTGATTTTTTTTTAAACTGCTTTTCTTCCTATAAAGATTATTTAAGACACAATCTTGCCCTGGGTTGGACCAGTCTATACAGGTAGATCTTGTTATTTGCTTTTGTTTTTTCCTCCAATTTTTCTTTAAAAAATTTCTCTTAATCTCAGATTAAACAACTCATAGCAGAGATACTGAAATCTACATTAAACCCAAGTGCTAACAGACCTGGGGCCAGGGGTTCTTCTAAGACTCAAATCAGTCAATGGCAAACAAGCTTAGCACAGTATGAGGAACCAGCTTCCTTAGGGCAGACTCACCATGAGGTGCAGGCCAGGAGCCAGTTGCAGAGCAAGTGAGCGAGGCACAGCAAGAGGTGGGCATTTTACTGGCTGTCCTCTGTGTATTTGAACAACACAGCCAATGCTCATGCCTGGAGGACAGGAGCCTTATTTGCAAATAGTTTATGTTAATCTCAACTCACTGCCATTTGTTTGATAAATTGGTTCTTCATCTAAAGTGGCCTGGGCAGAGGCTTGGGTATGTAGCTTAGTGGTACACAAGGTGCTTAAGGAAGTTAGAAGTCTTAAGTTTAAGCCCAAACACCAAAACCCCAAACCAACCATGGCCATGGTCTAGAGGCACCTCCAGTGTCCCTGTCACCTGAGGCAGCTCTGGCAGGGAGGGCAGGCAAGCAGGTGGGGTACAGCTTGTGCTCTGCTGGCAGTTGAGAGAGGAATGAGCAGTGTTAGCAGCTAGTAATTAAAATGGTATCATTTAAACAGTGAGTGGAGATTTTCTAGTACGTACCAACTCTCCTTGCTTGCTAGGCAACAGTGCTCATATTTATTGCTTGTAGGGTTATGTTTTTACAAAATTGAAGTATGCTTGTTTCCCCAAACTGCTAAACAGCTCTGCTGCTCCTTGCTAAAAAGTAAGCTCGTTATTTCTGTTAATTCCACTGCTACAGCAGACTCCTTGCACTCTGCCTGAGCTCAGACTGGGGAGGTCTGACTTTTCAAGGCCACCTGTCTCCCGACAACAACAAATATCTGAGATCATGAACTTACTCTGCTTGCAGTTCTAGAGATTTCAAATCATGATCGGTTGGCCTCATTGTTAAGTGTTTTATGCAAGTGGGTTCTGAAGAACACCCTCTTAGAGTGTGATCCCAGACCAGTCTTAGCTCTAGGGCACACAAAGGAGGTCAAAGGGAAGTATGTGGGAAGAAACTGTCCAGTGTGCACACATCAGACATCTCAGAAACAACACAGCTTGCAAGAGGGAAACATGGTTTGAACCTCCATTTGACTCATTCAGTGAGGCTTATCGCACACCCACTTGGTAGGTCTGCAGAGCATTGTTAGCACAGAAACAGGCAAAGAATGTTCAGTATCTGCCCAGGGGCTGGGTTAGTGAAGACACCACAAACGGGTCTCGGTCCCCAACCACTGTGGCAAGCACTTGCAGGGTCAAAGGCTTTTGCTTTATCTGGATCTGATGTGTCTTTATGCAAAAAAGAAAAGGGAAACGCCTGTTTGGGATTTGCTAATGCAGCCATTTTCTTTATTTGTACTAAGGCTGCATAATGTGGGCTTTGTAAAGTCTGCTGGCCTGAAAGCAGGATACATTTCTAATGGAAACACTCCCACGCATGATTGTACAACAGCAAAGCGATGAATTACTGTGATTTTGGACCCCCTGCCGTTATCAGTTCCACCATACTTGAGATGTTGCTTTCATTTAGAAATACTACAAATATTGTTTTTTTGGAAAGGCAAATATTAAATGGAAATTGTGCTCAAAGACATGAGAAAAAGCACGCAGAGTATACACACTGCAGACTGAAATAAATTATACCAGGAAGAACAATTTGCAACATAAAGCTTCCTTATAATTTACTGGACCTCCTAAACTTGATTATACCGCCACTGGGTATTGGATTAAATGGAAAAAAAATATTCTTAAAGTGTCCAGAAACTCAGAACACTTGTATTAATGTGAAAGGTGTTTTGTTTAACAGTTTAAGAGTCTAATTTGACTTTTAACTGACTTTAAACTGGACTGCCTCATTTTGTATTCTCATAGGAAGAGACTTTTTCCAAAAGTCCTGGCCATGAGATTTATTGCTGTGAACCTGAACAAATCCACTTCTAAGTTTTCCTACCATGAAAATCAGGCAAGAGAGGTGTCGACACAGTAGTGGGTTCTCGGTGCCCAGTACTAACCATATAGATGCTATGGAACCTCACTACAATTCCATTTAATGTGATCCTGCAGGTCTGAGGACACAAACTATTTGATCAACAGGCAATCCTGAGAGTTCAGTCAGAAGGCAATGCTTGAGGTGTGTGCAGTGCAGCCAGGAGAGATGATACCGATGATGGAGTATTACTGAAAAGGATGCAGGTGTGGGAGACCCTGTGTGTGGAGTTCTAAGATCTCTCTGGCACTTGAATAATCCTCCATTTCATGTGTCAATTTATCATATATCCAAACTTTCATTTCTTGCCAACTTTATCCCTTAGAAATTTTAAGTGACTGCTTATCCTTAAAAACAGCTAAGTGCTCTTAACCCCTGCGCCATCTCTCACCCATATGGCGGCTGCGAATCATCCTTAACTCCAGTTCCAGGGAGTCTGAAGCCCTCCTCAGTATTGCATGACATGGGTGCACTCACATGCAGGCAATACATTCATACACATAAAATAAAAATAATTAAAATATTAAAACAAAAAACAGCTAAGTGCTTACCTCATTGGCTCTCCACAACAAACTAGACATTTATTTAACAAGGAAATTCTAGGTCTAATAGGTCACCACACAACTTTAAAAAAATTCAAGACTCAGGGGCTGAATGGTAGTGACATATGGGTTGTCCCAGGAGCATGCATACTTCTTGGCCCCTTCCCATTAACCTTCCATTTGTGCCTCTGCAGGAAGACACATCTACAAGACGCAGTTATGAGCACTGGCTGCTCTTGCAAAGGACTCAGGTTCAGTTCCCAGCACCTACAAGCCAAGTAATGGGCATTCTTGCTATAGACCAAGGAGAACTGGAGAGAGAAGGCACAAGTCTGTTTGGGGATGCAATCTGTGTGTTCTCAACTTGGTTATTATAAAGAAACACATCCCTTGTTTCACAGATACTACTGTGCCTTGGTGATTGGGGCTCCAAAGCTCACAGAATTTCGAAAGCTTTCACTCTTTCTAAAGAAGGTGATGTTTGTCATAGCTGTCAGAAAGGTTCAGAGACCCGGTACCAAAGCACCCAGGATTCAGCATCTTGTTACTCTAAAGTGCCTTACAACATAAATAATGATGCATTGCTCTGAAGAAACAACACACCAAGAAAAATAAGGAGGAGGCTGAAAATATGATAAACTTGGTCAAGGGAATGAAGGAAGACAAAGAAAAACATCAGGAACAGACTGCCAGACACGATCTGTCCTCCCCAAGAACTTCTAAGTTTGAGTCCAGGCAAAAATAAGTCTTTAAAGAGTAACAAACATTCAGACCTTGAATCTCAAAAAAACAAAAACAAAAAACGTTTTGAGATGGCTTGGCATCATCATGTAAATATCTGATGATAAAAAAATTGTAACTCACAGATATTTCACATATACTTTATTCAAAGAAATTCACAGGCAAATTAAATGGTTTATGGTACATGAGCATAATTACATACAGAATATCGTACTTTCCAAAAATTTACAGTGACAAACTTACTTTTTAGAATTAGCTACTCTGTTAGCACTACTTATTTCAATACAGATATTACTTAGAAAGCATAAGTCCATCTGGAATATACAATTATATTACGTTAAATATTAATAATCAAAAGGGGGAAAATATAGTGACCCAGTAGTCCATTTTAAACATATATTCAAATGGGGACTTTTCAGCTATTTCATTTGTACAGCATCCACATATCACTTCATGTAAATAAGATTTTACCTCTAGTTTTCCAAAGATGACTGTGAATTCCAGATTATGCTCCAAGATTATACCTCATTTTAAAGATGCATTAATAAACATCAGTGAAATTCAGCTCGACTAAGTTAGGTTGGCATGATTGCAAAACTAGGGCCAGCTTTAGTGAAGTCACTGGTGACATGTGTACCAAAGTGAGGCTCTTGGCAAGCCAGACAACAGCAAAACTACATGTGTAGGTTGTGCACCTTGTCAGACCACAGAAGCAACCTCCACTGTGTCTTCCAGGCAGGACTCCACACTAGTGGAGCCTCAAGCTGAATGGTAGTGACATACGCTTGTCCCAGGAGCATGCACACTTCTTGGCCCCTTCCCATTAACCTTCCATTTGTGCCTCTGCAGGAAGACACATCCACAAGACGCAGGTTAACGCACAAAAAGACGCACAAAAGTCTTGCCCCGTGGCAAGGTCTCCTCTTGATGTCAGATGAGGGAACGAAGCTGGCATAAAGCGGAGTAGCAAACACCAAATTCAAATGTATGAGGAATAGAATTGGGGGCAATTCTCAAACAAAACATTTTGGGGGTAATTAATCACTTCATCTACAAACAGGGCAATATTCCAATCTAAGTTAGAAATGGCAAGCCACCTCAACTACCTTAAATATGTTTTTATGTAATGACTTGCAATTAGAGTCTAACAAGCACAAGGGACAATATGGTGAACAGCATCTATTTTTAAATTTGATTCCAAAAAGGTTACACCTGATCTCATATGAAACTGTGTATTTTTGGGTAATGAGTCCAAAGTAGAGGGTACAGCCTGTACTAATAAAATCCTAAAATCATAAAGAAAGTCATGACAAGATACAATTTTAGAAGCTTCTATGAAGAGAAGCCCGTGGAAACCACTGTGGTAGAGAGAAGTGGGTCAGGAGTATGGAGGAGCCCACAGGCACTGGTAAATAGCACCCCGGCTAAGGGCGAGCTACAGCCTGTGGTCTCAGCTTCTCCCTGTAACATGAGCAATGCTGGGTTTGAAGACTCTTGGTGTTGGCATTTTAGACAATTAGAGGAAAGTGCTGGATCCCACACACACGTAAGAGGGTAACACCCTAGAATATTAAGCACTAGAAAGCTCATTTTACTTAGCTACGTGTCAAATAAGAGAAATTCCCTGGAAAGTTAAGGTCTTGCATTTCAGAAAACTTAAAGATGCTGCCAATTTTAGAAAAAAACAAAAAAGAGCATAGTGACTAAGTATATAAGCTTATTAGCAATAGTGCCACAGTGTATTTTACAAATTAAAAAAATGCATAAGCCAGCACTCGGGAGGCAGAGACAGGCGGATCTCTGTGAGTTCAAGGCCAGCCTGGTCTACATAGTGAGTTCCAGGACAGCTGGGGCTACAGAAAAAAAAAAAAAAAGCATAAGCAAGGTAATTTTCATTTGTTTATTTTTCATCAAGTACATCTTAGAAATAACATTTAAACACAGGTTCACAAATACATACAAAACAAAGTAGAGCCTGCTTCTTTCATGAAGGGCTTTCTCTTTCTTCCTTTAGCTGCTTTATGTAAAATTCAAAGCTTTCCTGTTAAGAAGAAAAAAACCCAAAGAAACCAGAAGTTATAGACAATTATCAGCAAATTGTGCAAAAACTTAAAATTATGAATCAGTATAAACTGGTAGCCAAGACTGATTGGTCCATGGCTGACCTGCCCCTCAAGACTCGCATTCCTTCTTTTTTTTTTGAGAAATGCCTAGTTCAAAAGCCTGAAGTTCTGCATTAAAGCCAGTGCCATTCTGGTGACCACTTCAGTGTGCTGGTGCTCACACCTGGGGATGGAAGGTTAGGGGTTTGGAATAAACAGTGTAATAACTTTCATTTTAATGGCACAATAACATGGAATTGTGTGTGTGTGATTTCTCTTGGTAAAGGATTTTCTCAACGAAGAAATAAACTATTTAAAATGATCAGGTCACTAACACTGACAATACGCTACTGATTTCCAGCCCCTTAAGCCCTACCTCAAGTGGCACTGACAAGAGAATGCCCAGGACATTTGGAAGGCTCATACCACGGCTGAAGGTCTGGGGCAGACCTTGCTTTTTACCCTGATTCCCAGAGGCTGCCCTGGCCCAGTCACAAGGCCCCTGCTCAGTCCCTCAGCCCTCCCTGGGAACTTTCCATAGAGACCTAATCCTCCATAATTAAGTATTCAACTTTTTCTCTACACATTCTTATGAGGCATATATAAATCTGGAGGTATTTTCTCTCCTTAATTAAAAATACTCACAGGGGGCTCAGTGAAAGGGACAGGCTGGCCCGCATGCTTCAGCAAAGACGCGTAACGCTTCAGAAACAGTTCATTCAGCTTCACGTTCTTTGCAGTCAAATGATCATACAGCACTTTAGCAGAGGCCACATCTTTGTCCAAGACTGACAAGTTAAAGGGGAAAGCGGTATCAATCATAGGTGAAGACAACCTATCTTTCTCATTAGAACTCTTGGCGCTCAGGCACTCTGGCATTCTTTTATCAAAGGTGAAGAAGTGAATGGCTTCAGGAGGCCACTCAACAGTCTACAGTTGCCCACTCCATCACACCATTCGTTCGATCTCTCTCACTGTGAGGGAGAAGTAAAAGGACTAGCATGACAGCACTTACAGCCCTGTAGGATACTGATGGCATCAGATATATCAGCTAAAGGAAGACCCATGGTAGCTATAATGAGCAAAGTTCTCAGCTGCAGAGCAGTGGGCTGGGAGAAGAGCCCCTGAAAGGAACTGAGGGTGATGTTTACACTAGAATTGGGGTACACTGCTGAAGTTTGGCTGTCAGTTTTATCTGTGTAAATCCTTTGCTCTGCTCCCTAAACGGTACACATTTTCCCCTACTCCTGTTAAGGACTCCTGGTCTGCCTTCTAGCAGCTCAGAAAAGACTAGTATGTTTCTTTCTCTACTTCTTAATTTAGAAGTACTGTGTTTTGTGCACTTGACACTATTTTATGTTACTTGGTTACTGACAACTTTAGGTCTGTGATTACAGCTCTACTTTGAAGCACTGCAGGACCAGTGAGGTGGAAACACAGAGAACTGATTTGCTAGTTCTGACTACTAAAGCAGTCACTCTGCCAAAAATTCTTTATTTATTGCAGTTTGAGCAAGTCAGTGGGCAGCAGGTGGAAAGACGATCATGGCTCAGAAATGCTAACATTTATCTTACATGTGAGAACTTCAGACTGCCTCCTTTTCATATGTGATCATCTGGCAATAAGGGGACAAGGTGGGTAAAAGACTGAACTCCATCTGGGCTGAGATGTAATCCTTGGTCACAGTTAAGGCAGTGGGGTACTGAAGGAGAAGAAGGCAAGGCAAGGGACAGTCTCAAACACGAAGCTACCAAAGGCTGCCTTTCAGGTGTAGGTCCTGGGGAGGCAGAGCTGCTTTCTAACATGTAAGTCTAAGTGAACTTCTAGGTCTTTCTAAGAGCCAGGGGTCTGATTCCACAAACCTAGACTGCTCTGAAGGTGCTTAGGGCTATTTCTTCATGTTAACATTCTAGGACCAAAATGAATGATTTATAGAATGAGTAATTATCTGAAATTTAGGATTACCTCCTGAGCTGAATCATAGTTGACTATACTAAAAACATTCACATCGCTTGAATAGTACAGTAAGAATGAATTTATTACCATAGCTTTTCATGGAGGAAGAATACACCTCTTCCTTTTCTCTTAATTCAGGAATCAATTCCAACAATGTCTTCAAAACTGGTGCCTAGGAAATGACGTACAGGTATCACTGCTACAGATGCAGAACAGTGACTAGACACTGGCATACACGTTACAATCATTACAAGTCTGTCCAATTCAGTTTGGTGTGCTGTCTTAAGATCCTTTTGTATGTTTCAGCATGTGATGCTGACTCAAGAAGTTATAGCCAGAAGCAATCTGCATTTCAAAGTTAAGGGCTCCCATTTATATTTTGGAGTGTTTTCTAAAATATATTTATCTCGGCATAACATTTAAAATAGCTAAACATTGCTTCTTTTATTAATCATTAATTTATTAAAAAGCTGGAAGATCTCAAGGGTAAAAGAGGTAACAGTTGTGGTTTTAGATGAAAAAAGTTGGGATGAAATGCAAAGAACTCAAACATGCTGAAGTTTGCCCTATGGCAGGTAGCAGGCATCCCCAGGATCTCACAGAAATCTCTCCTTGACTGCCTGGAGGCCATGGCAGCTACAGACAGGCTCTCAGTTTCTGCAGAGAATAAATACAGAAGCAACCCAGCTGAATGATCATCTTACCAAAAACTAAATCTGGCTTAATCAACTAGTGTATTGTCAGATACTGGCATTATAGCTAACATGAAAAAAATCCTAACTCAGCACATCAATTCACTCAAACTACATATAGACCTGCATCTTTTCTGAACCTCTGGTATTTTAAGCTCTCAAAGCAGATAGGATTAATGTGCATTTTCTGTTTCAGCTCCTGAACAAGGCAGGACTGGAATTCAACCTGGGACTTAACACACACTAGGCATACCTTTTACCACTGAGCTATACCCCTAGTCCAGATTCTTACATTTTAAAATCAGAGCTTTTAAAAAATTTGAGCAGAATTTATTTGAAAGGAAGGGACAACTTTTTCAAAAAGTTGTCTGTTATACATAAATATATAGTTTGCATCAGTTAAGAAGTATGTGGATAGGTAGGGGAAGTATGATGCTATTAAAAATAAATCTCCAGCGCACGCGCACACACACACACAGGTAATTTTTTTTTAAAAAAAGCTGATACACAGGACACACCTGCAGTCGCTATGGTGTTTTTAGGTAAGATTCTGAACCAACAAACTCTTGTTAAATGACAGAACAGGGCTGTTTCATAGAATTTTGTTAACTAACAAAGCACAGTACCTTTTTTGGTTTCTGAGAATTCCTAAGAAAGAATACCAAGAAAATTGAGGTTTGTTCGGCAATTGCACCACATCTCTAAAAATTAAAACATTATACAGTCAATGAAGGTTTTTGATAAACAAGTAAATCAAGGTGAGTATTTCCAATTAAGAAAGTTCACAATAAGACAGCAATGTATCATTACTACCACCTAATAGTCAACCAGTCCTTTTAAGGTGAGAAAAAGGGAGAGGAGTGTGAGCTGTGCCGGGCGTTGGTGGAGTATGGTCCTCTGCATTCCAAGTATGAAGTTTGTTTAAAAAGAAAGTAGAAAAATTAAACCAATGCTTCAACAACCACAGAACAAGGTTTAGGACTGCAAAGAAAGAGGGAAAAAAGCAACACTATTCCTCACCAATTATTCTGCCAAGCATTCACAAGTGAGCTAGGGATCATAAGGTTAATTATACATTTAATAAGGTGTCAGGGAGATAACTGCTCGTTTCTTTATAAAAATTAAAATGTACAAAGCAAGTTCTCTTTAAAGTATAATTACCTACACTTATGCATACAAAAGGACTGATTTCAATCTCTCTATTTTATAAAAGGCTTTCATTGCAACAGACAGCCAGTGCTTGAGAAAGAGACAAAAGTTAAACTCAAAAAAAAAGTTTATATGACAGACCAGATAAATCAAGTGTCTATCCAATCTCAGATGCTTTAGTCAAATCAAATATGGGAAGACAATATTTTAGTTTACACTCATTGTAGATGTCATTCTCGTAAGTTTCTAAAAGCACATTGCTCTTTCAAAGCTTTAAAACATTGTCAATAATAAAACGAATGGCATAAAAAGAACTTTTGGGGGCTCAGAACATTTACATTATAAACTCATGTTTTTGATGCCTGTGAATCAAGTGCTTTTCACTAAGGCAAGGAAGAATAATCTTCTACTGTTTGACAAGCATGTAAAGGACAGGTAAAGGGTTCAGCATCTGGGGCTGCAGTCAGATCAGCACTCAGCTGTCACCAAGAGCTCCTGGGTGAAGCTCCCGAGGCTAGAGGCAGCTCTGAGGACAGCAGGCCCTGCTGCCTCCTGGCCTAGGCTGCTGGCAGTTATGAAGGGTTGGGAAGATTATGGCTCAGCACAGCTGGGAAAGGAAGGACCATATGCTTTTCCTAGAACACACCAGCAAGTGTGTGGTTCAAGGTGCAGGAACACCATCACACATATGACTAGGCCATTGTGTCAATATCCCTAGGTGTTTAGATAAGTATATATGAGAATAAAGTCAAACAGAATGTTCAACAACAAAGGCAGTAAGAGAAAACAATGAAAAGATTCCTGAAATCCCTACCATGAACTGACTTTCTTATAAAAGAGAGAAGCACATGACCCAAACTAAATGGTAAAAACTTTAGAAGAAGAAGTAATTTACATTTTTAATGTAACTGTTAACCCAGAGAAAAAAATGGTCAGACAGACCTTTTTAAAGTTTCTTGGATTCTGCTGTCAAACTAGATGAACTTGGATCAAAACCAGAGCTCAAGCAAATAGGAAGCCTCACCTTCCCTATCTCCTGCTGAAGCTATCTCACAGCTGGTAGGAATGGAAGTGAACATAATACTATTTACTATCAAAAATTGGTCCCAGGCCTCAATTTGACACAGGGAGTCTACACAAAACACAGCCGCTGGCGGGATCACAGTGACTGTTTGACTGCCACCTGCTGGGAAGGGGCTCCCCAGCGGTGCCTGTTTGTGTACACTGCCAGTGGCAGCTCGATCACCCACCGCTCTGTCGCACTTGGCGCAGCTTTATATTTAGTGCTGTTAAAATGGCATGAATGCAGTTGTCTCCTTCCCTGAAGATTGCTAATTTAACTGAGAGTGTGGGCCACAGAGGCCTGCATTTGTCATTTAATGTGTCTGTGACACATAAGTGAATAGAAAGCAAATTCAACTCTTAATAAACCTTGAATAAGGCACTGAGAATGTTTGAGTATTCAAGTGAGAAGCTGTATGTGAAAAGCAAACATTTCCTACTTCTTGTTTGCAAACTGTGTTGCCATGGTGATGCACAGTATTTAGAGCATTAGAGAAATTAGAAAATCAAAGGAATTGTTGCTTTGCATCACCTATCTGCACAGAAACATTTGCCTTTAAATTATCTCTGCAAAACTCATTTTCCTGCCTTGCCCCACTGTAATTACAAGGGCATTTCCAGTTCTATTTGGCATCCTTAAAACCAGCAACCTAGAGTTTACAATCTAGTTCTTTGTCATGAACCCTTGATTCACATCGAATTCCAATGTTCTAACAGCACTATACTTCAATTCTGGTATACTCCTCGACACTCACGTCTAATAACTTCTCAGTTTAAGTCTCTTAAGCCACAAGCCCCACTGAATCATTACCTGTAGGAGAGCTTTGGCATCATCCACCCTGCCTGAATCCACAAGCTGCAGGAAAAGATCAGTGACAGGTTTGTAAAGTGCAAAATGATTGGCCAATCTCTCCGACATGATGCTTACTGCAAAAATGACAGGTAAAGAAAATCTCTCATTAAAACAGTGGTATGATCTACTCAACAAAGAAATCAGGTCTAATTTCACCAAAGGAAAAAATGTGCTTCTGTGTTAACAGAAACAACCAACTTACATTTTTCGATTGCTGGTTCCATCTGCTCCTCTATTACTTTTCTGAATAAATATGACAAGCCAAAGTACTGAGGTTCTATGGTTCGATTCTCTGAAGTGAGCATGTGTTCAATATTTTCTATGGCAACATCTATGTTATTGCTATACAAGAAAACAAAATTATAAAGAAATATTTGCTTTCATTGTACTGCAGTCAGTTTTAGTCACTGAACTCATAATATCCACTTGTGTTGATACTCATGCAAATACCAAATTAATAACAACTTAAGAGCATGCGATGTAACTTAACCAAGTTACATTTGGGCAGCAAAAGCAATCACTGAGTGGTTCTTTCTACATCTGCTTCACAGCAGTTGAAACAGGTGCTTATTTTAAAACAGTGTTCCAGAGACAAAAATCAAATTATATACAACAATTAAGGTAACTTTACCTTGAATATTTAATCTGATTTTGCAGTTCATTGGATATAAAATGAAAACGTCTTTAAATTCTATTTTGGAAATAAATATCTTTATACTCCACCACGTGGACATTAGTGTATGAGGTAAAAGGTACGTAACATTTGGAGACTCTTTTTTAAATGATAATATAGTAAAAAGGTGTATTTTCATGACTAGTCATATAAATTTCTTTTTGTCAGGTACCACATGTTTGGAAAATTCTAGAATCCTCAGAAAAAGGTACCTTCACACTTAAAAAAAATAAAAAAAATTCAATTTATGCCGGGCATGGTAGTGCATGCCTTTAATCCCAGCACTTGGGAGGCAGAGGCAGGCAGATCTCTGTGAGTTCAGGGCCAACCTTGTCTACACAGTGAGTTCCAGGTCAGCTGGGGCTACAGGTAGACCCTGTCTCAAAAAGACCAAAAAAAAGCAATTCTTTGGCCTTACTGAACAATGTAGGAAAAAAAAAAAAGTGCTTATGTCTATCTTTTTGAGCAAGATGATTTTTAACGGATGTTTTGAAGTTATGATGTGGTACTATAAATCCAAATCGATTTTATGTTGAAATTATTACAGTAAAAATAAGAACTCTCTCTCTTGCCGGGTGTAGTGGCGCACGCCTTTAATCCCAGCACTTGGGAGGCAGAGGCAGGTGGATCTCTGTGAGTTCGTGGCCAGCCTGGTCTACATAGTGAGTTCTAGGACAGCTGGGGCTACAGGGAGATCCTGTATCAAAAAAAAAAAAAAAAAAAAAAGAACTCTTCAATTTTGGGGAAGTTCTATTTTGGGGAAATAGTTTCTAAGGTTAAAACCAAAACATTTTCTGCTCAAAGAAATAGGATGAACAAATCTGGCAAAACAGTATTTTAATATCATATTCCACTAAATGTGTATAAAATTAATTATTAAAGAACATCTCCCTTAAAAGCATCAAAAATGCCAATTCCAGATTACCCCTGTGATTGCCCACTTCCCGCCTTGGGATCGTTCCACTAAGTAGTCCAGGTTCACAGCAAACTTGTGATCCTCCTGCCTCAGCCTCCTGAATGCTGGAATTAGGCCTAATCTTATAAATTTTTAACTTGAGTACTTTACTAGTGAAATTAAGGAAAAGTCAAGTCTGTAAAATGGTGACGAATCAAGTCTGAGTAAGTTATCTTCTTGTGGGTACATGTACTGATGGGATGGATGGATGAGGGATATGGAATGTTTTTTTTGTTTTCTGTCTTAATGCTTGGGATAGAATTCAGAGCCTTGTTGTGCTAAGCACCTTCTCCATGACTGAACTACACAGCCCAACCCTGGAAATGCATATATCTTTTTAAAAATTAATTAATTTTTTGAGACAGAGTCTCCCTGTAGCCCCAGCTGGCTTGGAACTCAGTATGTAGACCAGGCTGGCCTTGAACTCACAGAGATCTGCCTCTGACTCCCCTGTGCTGGGATTAAAGGTGTGTGCCAACCACCTTTATTGGAAATGCATATTTTGACCAAGATTGCTGGATCCTGTTTCATAATATGCTAGTGGAGTGTTGAGACTCTCAAGTATTGCTGATAAGCACATCAAATCATATTCACTTTTGTAAAAGAAGTGTTTTGATATCAAGAGACATGTGTCTGTGTGTGTGTACATTTTATACATATATACATAAGTATACATGTATACACACTATACTTGGTATAACATATATATATGAGGAGTTAGCAACTGTGGAGTATATTTTATGAATATAAAATAATTTATAGATAATTTAAAGATAAAATACATTTTAACAAAGAATTAGCTGTAACAGTGAATTATCTGCATAATAATTAGGAATGACAATTTCCTCTGCAGTTGACATGTTTTTTAACAGTGCAAATAAATAAGCTAGGTGTAGTGGCACATGCCTTTAACTGCAGCACTCTGGAGGTAGAGGCAGGAGGAACTCTATGAGGCCAGCTTGGTCTACACATCGCTAGTGAGACCATGTCTCAGAAAACAAAAACGAAACCAAAAATAAATAAATAAAGATGGCTATTTTGAGACAATCCTCAGTCAAGAAAGCTTGAAAATACTCACTTTTTCATTTGTGCCAAAGCAATGTTGTTGATGAAAACCATACTTGAGAGTCCAATGGAGAGTCCATTTACCATCTTCTGAATGGCCTCTATGCTTTCCAGGTCACCCTTCAAGGCAAAGGCCTGAATAAGGCGGGTCACAGCTATCTTAGAAGGGATGTGCTCCAGATCCAAGGCTGCTTTTAGAGTTTCTAGAGCCACTATTCACAAGAGCAGAGGACAGAGTTTTCTTAAATAACTCATATTGAATTTAAGGTGTCTTGAAAACAAGCTTTTAAATATAAGCATCAAATGGCTCAGTACAAAATGTTATGAGTAATTTATTCCCCTGAAAATATTAATACTTCATGACAATTTTTTTTTTAAATGACTTATCTATTTGTAAAGAGTAAGAGACTAGCAAAATTTCTTTGTACCAGAAAGAAGGCAAACACTACTGGCAATGTGAATTCCATTCAGGAATACTATTTCATGACTAAGTCAAGGGAGTTGATGAGTTCTGAGAACTGTAGATAGGAAGAACTTTTTTTAACTAAAGAATTCTACTCTTCAATTCATAATACCCTGAGATTTTACTAACTCAAAGACCACAAGATTACGAAAAAACTGTTAATATCTAGATCCTTTCTCCAAGATAGTCCAAACAAGATTGGTCACCCAAGACCAGCCAAAGTGGAGCATTCAACTTTTATACTGACAGATTTATTTTACATAATTAGAATCCTTGCAGATAATTTCTTGCATTCAGTTTTCAAAGAAAACAAAGCTCATTCAATTCTTAGGACTGTAGTCAAGGGTGTTTTGTTTGCTTAAAGGCTCACAATTACAAGTACTTGATTATAGATAAATATGGAATGCCTTTCTAATTTACAGACTCATGTGCAAGTATGGTAAAATCCTTACACTAAATAAAGTGGGGGTGGGAAAGGGTACAACAATAATACTTAGCATAACAATTGCCTCTACCACCACCGAGGCAAACTGCACAGCAATTAAAGCAATGTAACCTAGACAAAACTAAGACTCTTAAAGCAGCGCTCAGAATAAGAACAGCTTATCTTTCAGAGAAGAATGGGAGAGGGTAATAATTAAACAGTCTATTAAAAACAACACAGTAAAGACATGATCAACTTAGTTTCCTTTACTGAACAAACTACGATAATTCCAAATCTACATTATGATCTAGATCATTGATTCTCAAGTATGGAAAAGGGAAAATTGTAGAAGAAGCAATGAAATTTTACAACTATGTATGTACACATAGGAAAACAAAAATGCTTTTATATATACAAAGTGTAATCCACAGAAAATTAATCTGATATCATCTTGCTAGTTGGTGGTCATATTCCACCCCAATATTCTTTTTTTTTAGTATTTTATTATTTTTATTTTATGTATATGAGTGTATTGCCTGCATGTACGTGAGTACACCCCTGTCGTGCAATGCTGCGGAGGTCAGAAGAGGGTTTCAGATTCCCCTGGAACTGGAGTTAAGGACAGTTTGTAGCCGCCATGTGGGTGCTTGGAATCGAACCCAGGTCCTCTGCAAGAGCAGTCAGTGCTCTTAACCGCTGAGCCAGCTCTCCAGCCCCCACCCCAATATTCTTTGTATCTTAAGTATATTATTCATTAGGGAAGATATTCCCATTAGAGGACCAAAATAACAGACTGAGGATGGTATCTGGAATTTATTAAGCATTTACTTACTACACTTGCTCAACTTTAAAACATAGTAGGCAAGGAGTAGAGGCTGCGCTCACAACAACCCTTCTGAAGTTAGTACTAATTTTACATATGAGCCACTGAGGCAGGCAGTTTACATATTCTTTTCCAAAGGTCAAAGTTTGAGTGCTGACACCAACGTAAGTCAATCACATCAAGCACTTCCTTGTGGTTCTCATGAGGCACCTAGAAAGGCTAGGCGTCAGTAAACAGCTCAGATTCAACCCAAAACTGAACACTTGAAATTAGATTTGTTCTTTGTGTCTACAGAAATATTAGCTATTTATAATGAGTTTACATTTTTTACAATGAACAGGTTTAATTTCTTTCCTTTTTTGGAGACAGCATCTCTCTGTAGCCCCTGCTGGCTTGAACTAGGTATGCAGTATTTAGACCATATAGAGATCTGCCTGCTTTTGCTGGAATTAAAGGTGTATGACACCATGTCCAGTTTATTTCTGCTTCTTTGAGACAAGGTCTCACTCTGGAGCTCAGACTCTCTTGGTAGTCCAGGCTGGCCTCAAACTTGCAGCAATCCTCCAGCCTCAGCCTCCCAAGTGCTAGGGACTACATGTGTGTACCACCATACTCAGTTTAATTTTTCTGTCTTAAAATCACTTATAATTTCTACATGAAAAATAAACCCGACAACATCTTTCCTACTGAAAAATCAAAGCTTTTATAGCTTTAGAACTAAGACTTTCTACAAGCCTCAATGATAACTCAAGGCTGTCCAAAAAAGACTGTTAGTGTGGAATTTGAAAAGGAAGAAATCACCACTTATATAACCAGCCATAATCAATTAGGGAGACAGCTAAAGACCAGCATGCTTAGATATTGTGAGCAACACCAAGACTGCACAGTTAAATTACAAGCAAGGAATAACACCATTATTAGGGAAGAAACCAAGTATCACAGTTAACAGTTGAAGAGCTTAATTTCTAAACTAGTGGGTTTGTTTTGTTGTATTAGCAAAACTAGTGTTGTTGTACTGACTAAAAATTCAAATGTAAAACTGATTGTGAAAAGCTACTTACCTAACATTAAGAGTCATCACTGTCCCCTGAGAGATCATTCTTAAGATCTTCGGCTCCAAATCTGCCCCACTGTACACCCATGAACAGTTTCTAAGAAACCACCAGCTCCACATCCAATCCTTCCCACAGTCACCTCCATATCTTCCTAGAGTAGTTACCCTCTTAACATTCATTTAAAAACTCTAAACTTCAAACAAACACTGTACTTTATTGCTATTGGTATTATGAATGATTAAAAAAGTATTAGATTAAGTTTTAAAAATCAATATTATAATCATTTGGTGCACAATCCCACACATTTAACACCCAATTTAACTCATTTGCTATCTCATACACAACCAACACAATATGCAAGAAACAACTGCTGGGAATTGTTTCAGATGCTCCAAAGTATGTTAATTTCTAAAGCAAAATGACTTGTGCTGTGAATTTTAACACACTTGAAAGCCTGTACTTTCTCTCATGCTGGAACACAAATTTTGCATGTCTGAAGAGCTGTGATTCATCTTAAGAAAACCCATCTTGTGTTAAATGGAATGGAAACTGGACTAAGTGGTCAAATGACAAGTACATTCATATTCAAGCTGTATTATAAATGCATGTACAGTAATTTACGTCTCTCAGCTACCACAAAAGGCTCTTGATAAGCAGGTAATTTGCTAAATGGACTCCTTTATCCAAGTATTCGAAGGGCGTTACAAGAAAAATCTGCAGAGGCATTAATGTGACGTAAAGGTCAAGCATTGTGACATACCTTTCAAATAATCCCGCCTAACTTGCGTTATGATGAGGAGGCTGTTGGCAGCATCGTTCAGTGTGAAGCCCTTGATGTGGGTCTCAGCGCTAAAAGAAGCAGACATTTAGAAAGGAATTACTGACATGCTTCTGATACGATAATAAATGGTTGAGCACCAAGGTGAAATTATAAAAACTACTGTTCGTATGTTAAAAATATTGCTGCAAAATATCGACCTGGAGACAGCTTTTGTGTTATCCTGTCAATGGTTATAGAAGGATAATTTTTTTTTGCATTCTGACAGATGACAAAGTTGGAAATGAGCAACAAAAGAAACAAAGTACAAGATTTTTTTTAAACAATCGGTTCAGATTCTTGAATGCTGACATATTAGATGACTAAAATAACTGCATTGCCCTGCATTGTTCAGCTGCACCCTAAGCTCGATACTTTTTCCTTTTTTTTTTTACATTCACCACAATTATAAAATGTAAAACTATTCTTCCAGCAACAAAAATGAACATTTATTTTCAGCACCGAATACTTTAAATATAAACTAAAGGATATTACTAACCAACAACCATATCATTTGGTTAATTTAAAAATTTCTGTCATCTATATACATACATGTTTTTAAAGCTTTTTAAAAACACAGCACAGAACCAAAACGGCTGTTACATTAAAATTTTAAATTTCACATCATCATAGCTTAAATTTAAAATGCCCTCCCCCAACTTTTTAAAACTTGAGCAAAAAATAGCTTTACTTAAGGCACTAAATCCTGCAGGATTAGACAAAACAAAAAGCCTAAAATCTAACCGGAAACGGTTGGTTTGCTACACTGTTTATACACCTCTTACAATGAAATTTTAGCGTCTTTAATGCCCCAGTGTTAAACTTCTGATTAGGAAATCTTCACAGGTCACAAGGAGCAGAAGCAATCACTGCCATTTGCCTTATTGAACTCATCAGTGACCTTGCTGTCAACCCCACATGGCCTGCCAACCCAAGCAGAGCACAAGAGAAGCGGGGCTGCTGATGAACTAGTCTTCACTATCCCAAGAATGTGGCCAAAGACACCATGATGTACCCATCTTCTCAGTCGCTTTCAGCTTGAGCTTCACCCTGCAGTCCCTGCGTGCAGGGTTTTCCTATTTCCTTGACCAATCCCCTTAATCCTGCCAAAGTACCCATTGCTCAGTTTGACTTTCTCCCTTTGTTCCATCTGTCAAAGCTCTTAAGTCAACAACTCATGCATGAGTCTATAAATTGCTTAAAGGATTTCTTTTCCAACCTGCAGCATGATTAAATAAAACTTAGACTACTACAATCTCACTTCTCATGCCAATATTATACCATATCCATTTAAGACATGCACCTAAAATTCCAAAACCATGAGGTAACACATCCTGCCTTTAAACTGACCCTTTGAAAACCTGCAAACACCTAACACTCCTTTCAATAATCTCTCCCTCAAGCGGCTACCTATATTCATTTGGAATATGACAGTGGAGATAAATATCAGAAAGAAGAAATTTTCTTACATTATACTTGTCGAAATGATCAATGACAATGAAAAGCTCTGGCGAAGAGAAAAAGCACAAAGAGTAAAATCTTTGCTTTGGGATTTACTTTGGCTCCTGATTTTCTTTTCAGCTGTCAAACCAAACTTTTTGTGATGAAAGGAATACCTTTATCTGTGCTGCCACAGGAAATAATATGATCTAACTATATTTCATTTTAAACAATTTCAACAGTCATATAAGACTGGTGGCTACTGGACTGGGGTGCATGAAATTGCAGACTTGTTTTATTCTGAACTGCCAAAATAAAAAAAATTACAGAGGGAAAGGGAATCAATCTTTCAACTTATCATTTACTTAAAAAATTAATCTTTCTTGGGCTGGAGAGATGCCTCAGTGGTTAAGAACACTGGTTGTTCTTGCAGAAGACCCGGGTTCGAATCCCAGCACCCACATGGCAGCTAACAACTGTCTGTAACTCCAGTTCCAGCGGATCCGACAGCCTCTTCTGTCCTCCGCGGGCACTGCACAACACGGGTGCACTTACATACATGCAGGCAATACACGCATATGCATAAAATAAAAAATTCACTAAGTAAATTTTTACTCTGAAACATAAAGAAACCTTAAAAAACAAACAAACAAACAAACAAACACTTGCTTTCTCTATTTAAAAACAAAACAAAACAAAACTTCTCAGGATGTTCTTGCTGTTACTGGGGAAGGCGTCTGTGATGGTTGAGGTTAAATGACCTTCTCAGTAAAACAGATGACATTTTACCAGAGAAGTCAAAAGCACCTGTAACATGGCAGAGGTCTAATAAAAAGAGAGGACATGTGTTACTTCATAGAAAAGTCACTGATCTTAAAACTGAGCAAGTGGCATAACTGAAACAGCAGACTGTCCCCGAGATTGAGAAAGAATGCTAAAATAGCAGCAGGGCTGCCTCTGGCTATGAGTGCCCAGATGCTCAGCATACTACAATCAAGTTGCCTATATCCACCAATATTATCTGTAAAAAGATTTCTGCATTTTGTCAGCACACATGTGCCACAGCAGGTATGTGGGGGTCAGAGGGAGCTGGCGCCTTCCTTCCAACATGTAGGTCCTAGGGATTAAATTCAGGCTTTCTGTCTTGGCAGCTAGTGCATTTACCTGCTGAACCATCTCGCCAGCCCAACTTTGATCACTGATAACAGAGCTGGAAAGGGAAGAGATGGCGTGATCTAATATTGGCGATGAACCAGAAAATGAATCCACAGAAGTCATATGACATACCTACAGTAACATAAATAGCTTGGATAGCTGAAACATTCCCAGTCCAGGGTAATTTTTAAGATAAGTACCCAACATAGGCTTAACTCAAGTTGTAATTATATATAATATGGTGCAACTTCTTATTGATTCATGGGTAAGGCCCATGTATCCAATCCCCTGGTTGAAAGCACTTGGGCCCACATAGCTACATGAAGGCAGCAACAGGATAATCCTGGTGGGATAACAGCTGAAATATAAGCACTGTGAGGTGTATAGAAAGCCTCATCTATATGAGGAATCTAAAGAGTCCAACTCAGAAGCAGAGTAGAATGGAGGAGGCTGACAGGGATGAGAGAAGGAGAAAGGAGGAAATGATGGTTGTTGGATACCATATTTTCTAGGAGCCCTATACAGCACAATGCCTACAGTTAACAATACTGTGCTGTATACTTAATACCGCTGAGAGGGTAGATCACCAGTGTAATTACACACAGACACACATTCAGAAAGCCCAATAATAATAATGATGATGATGATAATAAAGAAGGTGGGAGGGAACTTAGGGTTGTGATGGATATGTTTACGGCCTTGATGCTGGTGATGGTTTCATTAGTATATACTTATCCCTAAAGTTAATGAGATGTATACATTAAATATGTATATCTTTTTATACGTCAATCACATCACAGAAAAGCTTCACAGAAACCCAGAGAGGAAGGAAAGAAGATAAACCTGCATTTTGCAGGTTAGGATAACAGGAAAACTAGAAGAGCTGTATTGTGGCTGTCTAGGCCAGCACCCTTTAAGAGCAAGACCTATAGCAGAGCTGCAGAAAGAAACGCTTTTACTGTGTCTACACATATGTAGACACCCACACATGCACATCAAACTGAAATCAATATCCCACAAAATGATCTTTATTATAAGCAGGGTTTTGGTATTTTCCTATTTCATCTAAAAAATGCTGAATCTGTCCCAACAAGTGGTGTCAACTGTAGTTTGAAACTATGCTCGGTCAGTGGCCTTCATGAGAGGCACAAACACTACAGGAGACAGGAGATATCTAAACCTCTAGTTCTCAAGATATTTTCAGAAACATTTTCTAGTTTTCATGTGTATTTTGTAATACAGATGACATATTAATACAACTCACCACTAAGAACGTGCAATAGAAATGTCTGAGGCACACAATTCATCAATTAGCTGGGTGTTTAGTAAAAGGCACATTCCTGGGTTGCATGACAACTTTAGTGGTGGGCTCCAAGGAGCCTTCTGATGCTGCCAAGTAAGGGGGTCACAAAGCACAAGCCTGACTGAAGTTGTTTTTGTGTGTATACACGGTGCATGTGCATGTGGAGAGCTCAGGTTGACATCTGGTCTTCTACTGTTCTCTATGTTACTTACTGAGGCAAGGTTTCTTGCTAAGCCAGGAGCTCACCAATCACAGCTGGCCTAGGGGACTAGCTTGCCCCAGAATCTCTTGTCTCAGCTTCGAGTGCTGGGGTTACAGGCAGCTGCCTCACCTGCCCAGCTTCTATGTGGGTTCTAGTGATCTGAATCCCAGCTTCACACCTGTACAGCAAGTGCTGTATCCATATCCACTGAGCCATCTCCACAGCTCCCAAATGAAGACATTAGTCATTACCTTGGGGAAGTCTTTTAGAGGATTTGTGATCAACCCCCAGGAATAAATAGTTTTTGATTTTTTAAGTTTTCCATCCCCTCACTTAAAAACATGTTTCTCAACACAAAATCTTCTGTTTTCTACCTTCCTGTTTTTCTGAAAAAGTAATTTTTTAATTTTTTTTTTTTTTAAATTTTATGTGTATACGTGTATTGCCTGCATGTAAGTGCACTTGTGTTGTGTAATGCCCGCGGAGGACAGAAGAGGCTGTCGGATCCTTTGGAACTGGAGTTATGGACAGCTGTTAGCTGCCATGTAGGTGCTGGGATTCGAACCGCAGTCTTCTGCAAGAACAACCAGTGTTCTTAACCACTGAGCCATCTCTCCAGCCCCTGAAAAAGTAATTTTCAGAAGAAAATCTATATACCCTTGACCCAGTGGTTCAGGTGACAAGACTATTCAACTAAAATTTTTTAGGTATTGAGTGAGGTGTTTATATATTCTAGAAGTACACTATTCAAAATTCACACTGAGTAAATGCACAAGTGAGAGACAGTACATTAAATATGTGAGCAGTCCTAATGTGACTGTCAGTACCAAAACAAAGGAGCAGTGAGTGGTGACACACACCTATAACTGCGGAACTCCTAAGGCAGGAGGATTGTTACAAGTTTGAGATCAACCTGGAATACACAGTGAGACCCTGTTTCACACCTTTGATTATATTTTTAAGGGCAATTGAGACAATTAAATAACATACTTTATTTTTTAAAGCGAAAATTTTTTCTTTTGTTTGAGTCAGGGTCTCTCTGTAGCCCCAGCGGACCTGGAACTTACTATAGAGACCAGTCTGGTCTCAAACTCACAGAGATCCACCTGCCTCTGCCTCCCAAGTGCTGTAATTAAAGGCATGTGCCATCATGCCCAGCTCCAAAGTAAAAGATTTTGAAAATGAAAAATGAGCCTATACTCACAAATCTTTCACTTGCATTGCTTCTGTAAAATTGTCCTTCGACAACAGTAATCTTATAAGAGTGCTGTAAGTTTCACTGTTAAATACAACATTTTGTTTTTGTGCTTCCAGGAACATCGTAAATGCATCTACAAGAGGGAAAAATAAAATAAAATAAAAATGAAGACAATATTATTCTGAAATAGCAAAACAACAACAAAAGAAACGAAACAAAACCCCCAAAGCCTTTAGGCACATATTTCCATTTTTTTCTTTTACAAATACCCACCCATTATAACCACTCCATAGATAGGTGCTGATCAAGCAAGCACCTTCTTCAAATTTTTAAAAGACAGATGACAGTTGCAGAAACTACCATCCCACTGAAATGCATGGTTCCTGAAAGAATTTTCTTCTAAAATTATTTTTCATCCTTGCTTTAGGCCAATAAATTATGTTCATACTAATAAAAAAAGTGAAAAGTAGCTCTTGTGACTTTAAAAGATGATACTAGTTTCAAAATAAACTGCAAAATATGTGTTAAAGTCCAAATAAACCAGAGGTATAATTTAGATTGAGGGGAGTCAAAGATTCACTTTCAAGTTATCTTTAATCTATAAGTGGGTGGTTACAATAGTTAGCATTTCAACACAATAGCATTAAAGCGAATATAGCCTATAATTCTAAAATTAGGAGATCAAATTATTTGGCTACGACAGGACTTACACAAAAACATACAATTTTTTCAAATATACAGATACCTAACAAGTAAACTAGGCAACATTTGTTTGACTGATTAACAGTTTTATTTCACTCGTTCACAATAACTGTCAGAGAATGAAAAGATGTTACCAAAAGAGAAGTAACTATACTTTTCAGTCACTTACTTTTCTGAAATAAAATTGCTTGGCTATAAACAGCCAACTGAAACTACAATCCACTCCTGTATGTATAAACATATCACAACAGATTGAGAAAAACTGAACTACCACAGACAGCCTTCTATGAACATAAAACTCAATGTAAAGAAATACAGAATACTTAAGTAAGTACAGGTAAGACATTACTGTCCAGAAAAACATTCTAGAAACTTCTGAACAGGCAAAATTTGGCATATGTATAAGCAAGGGGAGTTTTCATTATTCCTCAACAAAACTGAAATGGCAACATCCAAACCTTATGTAAAATCTGAAGTTAAATTGGTAAGAAAAGGAGATACGGCAGTATCTGTATTAGTTGCACCTTAGTTAGGAAGAACAGATTTGTGTGAACAGAAGCAATGGTGATACAAGGCAATCAGCATTATATAAGCCTTCCAAAGGACAATCCCTGTTTGTTAGAGATTAAATTACTAAGTGCCTTATTACCAGATTTTTATTTTTTGGTTTATTTGTCTGAGACAGGGTCTCACTGTGTAGTCCTGGCTGGCCTGGGACTTGCTATGTAGACCAGACTGACCTGATCTCATAGAAGTCCCCTTGCCTCTGCCTCCCTAGTCCCAGGACTAAAGGAGTGTCCCACTATATTAGGTTTGTACCAGACGTCTGTTAATACCTGTATGTACTAGGTAAAAGTAAAAAGTAGAAAATAAAAACATATATAGACACATAAGAAGGAATTATATTATTAATGACTATTCCAGCAGACACCTGGTCTATTCAATGTATTTTAGTATCATGGAAGGAAATGGGAGGAAATAATGGCTCCCTCCACCACTTATTCGTTCACAATTTCTTTTTTAAAAAATATTTTATTATTTTTATTTTATGTGTATTAGTGTATTGCCCACATGTTATGTAAGTGCACCTGAGTCATGCAATGCCTGCAGAGGTCTGAAGAGGGTGTAAGACCCCATGGAAATGGGAGTTAACGGTGGTTGGTAGTCACCATGTGGGTGCTAGGACCCATACCTGGGTCCTCTGCAAAGAGCAGCCAGTGCTCCTAACTGCTGAGCCACCTCTCCAGTCCCTCTTTCACAATTCCATACACATATATAACATACTTTGATCATATCTACTCCCCCATTCATTCTGATCACCCCCAACTAGTGCCAAACCACTTCTTCCCAGTTAAGTCCCCACCCTACTTTCATGCATTATCATTGTGTGTGACCCACTACATTTGATTAAGACTTGTCCTCCCCCAGCAAGCTCTAACTGCTTCTCTTTCTGAGGGGGTCTCACTGGAACTTATGTAGACCAGCCTGGCCTCCATCTCACAGAGGATTCACCTACCTCTGCTGGAATTCAAGGCATACACCACCACACCCAGCAGGAAGTCATCTTGTGAATGACACTATCAATCCATTACAAATTTAAAATCAAAGCTTTATTGGGGCTGGAGAGATGGCTCAGCAGTTAAGAGCACTGACTGCTCTTGCAGAGGACCTGGATTCAATTCCCAGCACCCACATAGTGGCTATGAACCATCCTTAACTCCAGTACCAGGGGAATCCGAAGCCCTCTTCTGACCTCTGCGGCATTGCACGACACGGGTGCACTCATACATGCAGGCAATACACTCATACACATAAAATTTTAAAAAATTTTAAATAAAAAAAAAAACACAAAGATTTAAAAATTTAAAAAAAAGAATCATTTAAAATTATGACATTTAAGAACAAGACTGCAAAGAAATCTATTATTCAGTATACCCTGCATATATTTTTTTAAGGGGGCTAAGAAGTAAAGATGTAATGCCATTATTGCCCACATACTAACAAACATACAATAGTTCATTTGTTGCTGAATAAGGATATCTGTATTAATTATTATCCATCAACTTGTCCATTTAGGTTAGCAATGCAACACACCAAACCCATTTACCACAACTATCAGAAAAATACTACTACTCCAGGCATTCAATTTTCAAATTATATTTTGCTAAGCATTTGAATCTTGAGACACACAAACCCAGTACATAACTCTGAATTAACAGGTTAAAAAAATATTAGCTGAAGGCCAGGCATGGTGGCACATAGCTTTAATCCCAGCACCTGGGTGGCAGAGGCAGGCAAATCTCTGTGAGTTCAAGGCCAGCCTGGTCTACCTGAGTTCCAGGACAGCTGGAGCTACAGGGAGACCCTGTAATATATAATATGTATATTAGCTGAATGACTGCATTATATTTAATTATTTAAATGTTTTCACTTGAAAACAACTTTTTAAAAAGGTAATATCTGAAGTCAGTCTGGGCTACATAGTGAGATCCTGCTTCAAAATAACCCAACTAACCGAAGAATATCATTACAAATGTGACCTCCCATATGCCCATAACAAATAAAAAATTATTCTTAACATCAGGCCAGATTTGCTTTCTTTGTTCTATTCATCTCTAAATACTTTATAGATCTTCATTTAAGACAAGGATATTGTATTATAAATTATAATGCCATTATCCTAACTAATAAAAATGAAAATTACTACCAGCTAGCATTCAGCTGACACTTAAATTTTCTCAAATGAGCCAATTAGTCTTTGCTAAATTAATACATGTGTGTATATGGAGGGGTGTGTGTGTGTGTGTGTGTGTGTGTGTGTGTGTGTGTGTGTGTGTGTGTGTGTGTGTGTGTGTGTGTGTGTGTGTGTGTGCGTGCGTGCGTGCGTACACATGTGTGACATCCATCCGAGAGCATCTCTGGCATGTTGCTGTTAGGAAGGAGTTCCTGTGCGCGTTTACCTCTGAACTTTCTCAATCTGCAGGCCTCCAACACAGTCTTCTCCATATCTGCTTCTACAGTTGAGGCTGACGAAGAACTCAGGGAATGTCTGTCATCTTCAAACCACAACTTGAAAACAAAATTATTCAATTCAACAAAAATGGCTAAATATAGCAACCTTTGCAGTAAAAAATTGGGCTAAGCTGGGACCTAGAAATATATTGCTACAAAAAAAAATCTGTTAGGGTTTGGCTAAAAGTAAATTACCTCAGGAACATCAAATGGAACTTCCTGGTTGTTGGACTTCAGGATTTCTGCTAATAATCTTAGTGTCTTCTCACGGGGAATAATGTTTTCTTCTTGCATTTTATTCCAGGCAGCATCTGCTCGTTGCCAGTCGCTATTCACTTCTGTAGAACAGGATTAAGCAGAAAGGAATAAACTAAATAGAATTAGAAAATGTTTAGAAGGTTTCCTTGTTTGAGGTTGAAGTAGGTGTTATTCCAAATGCTGCCTTCAGGGAGAGAAAACACAAGTCACTGGAGCCCAAAGGTGAGGAGACTTTTCTGTGTGCCTTTCTAAGTAAGGGTAAGCCACAGAAATACCTTACCTGTTAAAAAAAAAAAAAAAAAGTAACCATAAACAAATACACAGACCTTTATTCAATGCTTTGGAAAATCATGTTGCCGGGTATGGTGGTGCACACTTTTAGTACAAGCACTAGAGAGGCAGAGGCAGGCAGATCTCAGTGAGATCGAGGCCAGCCTGATCTACATAACAAGTTCCAGGTCAGGTGGCTACCCTTGTCTCAAAAAAGCAAAATGAAAACAAACAACAAAGAAAATCACATTGATAAAAAGTTTGTTTTTAAAGTAACTGAGAAATTGATCAATGTAAAAATCAAAATCAGAAATAAACAACTCATGTCCTTTAGTGCTTGCAAAGATGATAAAAACATACACTGCCTAGTAGCTGGCTGTGGTACTAAAACGACTGAAAATGTTTTTTGTTAAAAGTGACAAATTTACAGATGCTTTTACACCTTAGCTGAACAGAGGTCATTTCATCTCATCTGCTGCCTTGAAGAATCTCTGTGATGGGTAATTTCTTAGATTTATTATGGTAACAGGTAACACCATAATTTCCTCTTACAAGATTTCTTACACAGATTTCTCTTATAAAGGAAATGGGCAGATTCGCTCATATTGAACAATCTAGTGACTTTTATGTGGTGATCCAGTTTTCAAATAACAAGAACAAGACAGTCTTTTTAGATGTCTTAAGAACTTAGATGTCTTTTTGCTTTAATTCGCAAACACGTACAAAAGGAACATTTTAGGGGGAGGCCTTAGAGCACAAACAATTGAGAAAACACGAATGCGTCTGTCTCTCAATATTATAGAAGAAAAATACCAACAGCAAAATAAGAGGAGTTTTCCCAGATTTTATCCCCTATAAACGTTTTTCAGCAATTAATGATTACTATCAGTGCAAACATTAGAGAACAAATGGCAAAACACACTCAAGACTCTATTAGAAACCAGCAATAAAGAAAAAGACAAAAAATGAGCAGATCCCCCAGGTAACATACATATATTCCAACTTCTGTTTTTAAGCACTGGAAATTCACCTAAAGTTTAGAGTTACTTTATACATGTTTGAGAATAAAGTCAATGCAACTAATATAAACCTCATACTTAAAATTAACTTGAAGTTAATTTTATTTTCCCTTCATTAAAATGCCCTCTATTTTGTAAATATGTAACTATCTTTTAAAGTATAAAACTTATTTGAGTAAAAAAAAAAAAAAAAAAAATCCAAGCCCCAAGAATCTTTGTTCTATAGAAGGAAAAGAATGGAACACTTCTGGTGTCTGGCAAAGGGCACCCATGGACAGTGGGGAATAGCCCCAGTCAGGGAAGGTGGTTCCAAGAGCCAGGAGCAGTGCGCTGCTCAGGTACTGGGAACCAGGAAATCATTTTTAACTTAACAAAAGTATGCCAATCAATGAAAAAAAAAGGGTGGATAATTTACCACTGTATGCCTTAAAGTCTGAGAACTCTGAGAAGCTAATTATCTTCTTTTTAAAAAGGCTTTACAAAGCAGGGGCTGGAGAAATCTCAGTGGTTCAGTCCCCAGCACCCACATGGCGGCTCACAAGTGGCTTTAACTTCAGTTTCAGGGGACCCAAAGCCCTCTTCTGGCCTCCACGCGCACTGTACAACACAGGCACACTTACATGCATGCACACAATTCATACACATAAAATAAAAATAAATTTAAAAAATTTTAAAGGCAAAAAGCTCCGACTCTGAAGGGCAGGCATTACAGATACAACTGCTAAAATGGACTTTAATATGTAAAAAGGAAGCCTTTCAAAATACAGGTGGAACTGGTATATATAGTATGGAATGGCTCAGTAAATATTTCCTTAGGGGAGAAAAAGTCCTGGAAATGTATTAATGTCACAAAATACAAAAATCCAAGTCAAATCATGCTGCCATGTGCAAAATCTTTAAGAGCGTAAAATGGGCAGGCTTCTCTGAATCGGTATCTCCTGTGGCCTTCTACTAAGACAATGATGAACAGATCTGTTATTCTAAGTCTCAAACAGCCACACACAAACCTGGGCCAGGACCAGCTAATGGACATTCAGCCTCTTTATTCACATCACACTCCTGGATGTTACAGTTCCATCTTTAAAGACTAAATGATCCAAGGGCTTTCCACTATATGATTTGACATTAGTAAATTTTATGAGAACAGATATAGTGCTTCAAATATTTTCTATGGAATTAAAGCTAAAAGATGAGATTTTCCATTTTATTTATAACCCTGATAGTTGTTACGTGACTGCTGACAGGGTGGAGCCATTTCCAAATCGCCCACTTATGAGTCACTTGTTACAGTCTCGAAGTATCATTTCTCTAATTAAATAAGGATCTCAGGTCCTGCTCCCATCACTTGCTTATATATAGGCAGAATGTATGTATAGGGGTCTCATGTCAGTTAGGCATAGATGAGTACAGTAGGCTTTTAACACCTGGATGTGCCACCTGTAGTTCTAGGCTCCAGGAGAACAGGAAGAACCACTGGTCATGACGATTTTTAATTTCTCATTACTGTAGTAAGAATGTCAGAAATTATGAGCACTACACAGTGTACCATTCTCTAACAGGGTTCACTTTGGCCTCTGTTGAAGACTCCGCATTTGTCAATCCCTCAGACTTCCCTGCTGTAGCTTCTACAGACTCAAGTCAAAGTGGGAGGCGCAATCACACTTACTGTACAGTTTCAGCAGGCTGTAGTACATCTGGTCTCTATCACATTCAAATAGTTTCTCTGTTAGCTCCACTAATTTTTCCAGCGTTTCAACCTGAAAAATAAGATTAACAGGTTAAGTCTTCACAGTGTATAAAAGGTGTATTTTACAGTTGATACACAGCAGTTGAATACTCTTTAAATGAGCTTTACCCATAGGATAGATTTAATTGTACCAGAAGATTAAGGGCCAAGCACAACAACACAAGTGCATCTACTTAATACCACAGAACTGTGCACTGAAAAAGTTAAAAATTAGTGATTCTACATTGTGTATGTTTTACCATTTCATCACAATAAAAAGTTCTTTTTTAAGTTAAAGGATTAAAGCACTCTTGAAACCAAAAACACAGCTTGAGTAACTAAGATGAAGGAATCTCTAAGGAGTGTCTTGAGAAACCTGAGGCAGGGAGCAGGGTGAGGAGCATGCAAGTGTCAGTAACTCTCGCCCAAACATCATACTGCTCTTTCCCCATGGTTTTCCTTGGCACAACATGAACAGACATATATACTGAGCCTGGTAAAGGAAGGCAGAGGTTCCACAGGGCTCCACCAGCCACCTTTTCCAACCATTGTGTCCTAAAGCAGGTAGCAACTGCCATGCAAACCAGATTAGTTTGCTCAAACCAATTAGAAGAAAATAAGTTAAAACCTTCAGGGCCCAGGCTAATATTCTTAGGACTTCTTACATACTGCAGGAGTAAGAACTATGCTATCTCTTATCTGGGGAATCACCGAGGTTAACAATGAAATCCTCAAGTGGTCAGGACACATAGGACAACACTTGCTTATTGCTCTCATCAGACATTAGAAATCAAGCACAAACCTGATTACTGGTAATACATCTGTCACAAAACCACTGAAGTCTTGTAGGTCGAGCTCTAATGCCTGGAGTCTGTAAAATAAATCCAGCACTTAACATACAACGAGCCACAGTGTTTTCCTTTTAAATGAATTTGCTGCCACACATATGCATTAAAAGAAACCTGTAACTTACTCCCAGTTATCAAAGACCTTTAATTAGGATTAGAACCAAACATAAAATGAAACCTCTATTTAACCCAGGCCTAGAAGATTCAGGTTGTTTTTTTCAAGATGCTTCTTTTCATTTGAGACAGGGTCTTCCTGTAGCCCCAGATGGCCTAGAACTCGCTATGTAGACCAGGCTGGCCTGGATCTCACAAAACTCTGCCTGGCTCTGCTTTCTGAGTGTTGGAATTAAAGGAGTGTGCCACCATTTGCAGCTCATTCCATGAAATCTTTTTAAAAGGAACATGCCTTGTAAAAGTTAGCAATAAGAGTATCCTAGCTAGGCATGGTGGTACACACCTTTAATCTCAGTATTTGAGAGGCAGAGGCAGGTGGATCTGTGAATTGGGGTCCAGCTTGGTATATACAGTTGAGTTCCAGGCCAGCCAGGTCCACACTGTAAGATACTGTCTCAAAAAAACAAAAAAAGGTCCTAACACTTATTGGATGTGCTTCCTAGCATCTGAAACAAGCTAAATGTTTAACATTAGCTCAGTCTTAGTTTATTTCAAGAACTGAGACATTTGTTAGTTGCATCCTCAATTAGAAATTCCGAAGGTTTAGTCAGTAACTCTGGCTTCAAGCACCTATTTCACAATGTTGGATATTGGAAAAAAAGACAAACCATTTCAACATAATTCCAAGGATTTGTCCCTCTAATGACAGCATTTGCATCATCTGTAAGAGGGTTTCACCACTAAACACTACATTTCCAATCACAACATCATGATAAGACAACTCCACACTCATCTGCCCTGGCTGCACTCCAGCCCACATGAGGGACCGTTCCTGCTCTTTCCACTCTGCTCTGTTGCTGAAACCAGGTATCCCTGAATCTTATCTCTTATTTGTAAACCACAGTACTATTAGTATTTTTAGAGATGGGGTATTGCTATATTGCCCTGGTTGACCTCCAACTCTCAGGATCAAGTGACCTTCCCACCTCGGACTCCCAAGTAGCTAGGAACACGGGAGCATACCACCATGTTATTGTGGCTTCTCCCATTATTTCTAATTAAAACCAAGAATTATTACACAATATTAAATTGAAAACTGAAGCAGAAACTACCATCTTACACCTTGGGGAGCAGCACAGAAAAACTGGTCCAGCTTAGGGTGTGTGAGCAAATTTCTATTTTGAGATATAAGAATTAGATGCTGAGTAAGTTAACTGTTGAAACACACTCAAATATTAACCTTCACATCTAGACACGATTTGTATTCAAGGGTTCCCTCACATCTGCTTTGCTTCACATACATCATACTGAGTATAAAATGAACATTGACGTACACAAAAAGCCCTTGGAAAAAAAAACAATCCTCTTTATAAAGCAGCAAAATGCAAGGGCTATACTCACAACTTCCAATATTACTGCTGACCCAAATCCAAAAGACCTAAACAGCACAACTTTGGGTAAACTCTTCCTGTCCAGGGCTGATTAATCTTCTCATCACTGGCAGGACAACTGACTTCTACCATAGATCTTCCCTATGTTTCATTTTGAAATTGGGAATTGTTTTCATATATAAATTTCAATCATCAAAAGAACATCTAGGTCAGATTAACTAAATCTCTCAAGATGCTAGAGCAGCCAATGTTTTTGGCTTATCTCATTTTAAACACCAAAAGTTGAAGGAAATAAAAAAAAAAAGCAACACATGAGGAAGAACTGAATTTTAAGTGGGATGGTAAACCTATTATCAAAAGGTGGTTAATATTCATTAAAATAATAACTAACATCTAGGTCGTTCTGATTTTTGTTAAAATTTATTCAATGCACAGTGAAGTTAAATAGTTACTATAACAGAGAAACTAGCGTGTTTGTTTCTACCTGAGTTACTGTGCCTCAAAACACAACTTTTTGCAGTTACAATTCAATTAGGTTCAACTGTATAGGCAATGAAAAGTAAACAAAAAAATCATTACCCTAACTTTATTACATTACTGTGTGTGAATAAACTTATTTTTATTATTTTCCAAGTGACTTGAAATAAAAATTTTGCACTGTATTTCAAACTTCAAAGAAGAGGATCTTAAATTTGACTCAAAAATTTTCCTTGCTTTATTTTTCTTGCCAGTACTAATGGGAACGGCAAACAAAAAACTGACATCAATGAAGTACTATATCACCATGTCCTCTAGCTAGTATAGTAAAAAGCAAAACCATGTGCACACGGCTCCCAAGAATGGAGAAAAGAAACAAGAACCCAATTCAACCATGCATCCCGTAGTGAGCCTAGACAAGGGAGGACATTCAGGCATCATGGCATTCGGTGAGCCCTTCAGCACTGGTCCCTCTCTCTAAAATCTTCAGAGATATATTTAAAGATTACATCTATTAAAAAGGAAAATATTGCTGAGCAAGTCAAACGAACACTCTATCAATAAACTGACCACAATCCTCTTAACCAGGCATTACAGGAGACAGTAAGTAAATAAACTCCTGACTTTTACACGAGAACTGACATATCTTGAAATTTTGACAGTTTGGGAGAAAACCAGCTTTAAAATCTGTTTTGTATACACAGGATTCATTCTGGCCCTATTAAGGAAGGTAAATTGAGTTAAAATTCTTAATTTCATCTAGTAAAGAAAGAAAAAAGGAAAGAGTAACAAAGACTGCACTAGAATCCAAAACTTCTGGTCATAAAGCCATAAAAAGGGAGCTTTTTCCCCACAAAGTCACAAGCAGCTGACTCTGGCATAGAAAACAAGAAAAGAAAGTAACTTTGGAGAAAGTTGTCTTGATACTCATGGAAACAGGCTAGTGTAGGAGAAGCCATAGAAAATGGGACTCAGCCTGATTTCTAATTCTGTGGCTACTGCTAAATAACTCCATCATCTATATTCTTAAATTTCTTTGCCTTAATTACTTCTCAAAATTTGTTTCTTGAGGTTCAGATGAAAATGTACATGAAAATTATTTGAGACTAAAAGAGCTTCGCATTGTTAGTTACACTGTTTAGTCAGTAATCCAGATTTGAGCCCCAGGGGAAAGAGGTTGGTTAGGTTGAAAGCTCATCTGTGACTAGAGAACTTTGCAGTGCCTGGCCCATGGCGAGCTTTAGTAAGCTGACTACTGAACCCTCAGGACGCTAAGAAAAAAACTAATGACACACTTCTTCATAGGACTCTTTAATAGCTATGTGAAATTTCATGTCATTATTTAACATTTTTGCTTGTATATATTATTTCTCCCTGGATTTAATTTCCAGTCTTGCCCTTCCTGGAAGATAACTAAAGTACCTTAAAATGTAGCTAACTTGGGACTAGAGAGGTACCTCAGCAGTTAAGAGCACTGGTTCCTCTTGCAAAGTACCTGGGTTCGATTCCTAGCACCCACATGGCAGCTGACAACCATCTGTAACTCCAGTTCCAAGGAATCTGACACCCTCTTCTGTGGGCACTGTACAACATGGGTGCACTCACACACATGGCAGGCAATACACTCATACACATAAAATAAAAAAGCAAAATATTTTTAAAACTATAACTAGCTGAGTGTGGTAGCGCACAAGTCTTTAATCCCAGTAGAGGCAGGTAGATCCAGGCCAGCCTGAACTACATAGTGAATTCCAGGTCAGCTGGGGCTACAGGGAGACCCTGTCTCAAAAAGACAAAAA